ACACGCTCTCAACTTTCGCATTTGGCAGTGGAACTGCCGTTCCTACTGTCCAAGTTTTGCTACTTTGCAAGAATTTGTCAAGGAAGACCCACCTGAACACATAGCACTGCAAGAAACAAATACAACATTGTGCGGCTACAAGGATACAACGCCCACATCCAAACAAAGCGTAAAGCAATCCTTACAAGAAAGACTCTCACGGTACAGGAATTAGAACCAGTCAACACACTTATCGAGCACATTGTGACAGAAGTAATACGGGAAAGAAAATCGCAAAATAGACTCATTGTGGCGAGCGTGTACAGCCCCCAAAAGACCAACCACCAGAATTTGACCTTCTGGTTCGAGAACTGAAGAAACGCGCTGATGGCAATCAAGTTGTTATAATGAAAGACTTTTACGCCCATCACATGGCTTGGGACTACGATACCCCAACAAAGAAAGGTGCCCGAATACATGACACGGCTCAGCAGCACAGACTGTCTTTGTGGAACGATCCACTCCAGACAACAAGAGTAGGAAATAGTGTCACCAGAGACACACACCTCGATCTCACGCTCACATTAAATGTGCGTTCAGCAGAGTGGAGCTGTCTCCTAGAAACCCTGGGAAGCGACCACCACATCATCCAATTAACCGTAGCTCACACTTGCAAGCCCAGGAGGATTGGCACGGCCCAAATAACAGAGTGGGGTTCATTCCGAGGTGCTCTAAATGTTGAGACCACCATCGATGACATAGACGATTGAGTGAGGAAGGTCCTCGACATTGCGGACCAACACACCAAAAGAATACAGCTGAATGAGGACGCACCAGCCCTTGACAAGCACCTCCTTCATCTTTGGGAAGCAAGAAGATCTCTTCTCAAGAGTTGGAAGAAGCAGAAGCTAAATAAGAAACTCAAGAAGAGAATCGCCCTGCTCACTGAACAAGTGCAGGAATATGCAGAGAGGTTAGGAAGACAGAACTGGTCTGCATTTTGCGACGCACTACAGGGAGCTTTAAACACAAAGAAAACGTGGCACATTCTGTGCGCTCTTCTCGACAACAGCCTTACAAGAACGAAGCAGCGACAAAATATTTTCAGGCTGATACACAACTACGCCAGATCAGAGGAGGAACTCCCACGAGAGCTCCAGAAGAAGCTGTCCGGAGATGCACCCATAACCACAACGGCACACGACAAAGCCTACAACGGAAAACCAAACCCCGAACTTGGTGAAACATTTACGCTGGCTGAACTAGGTGCAGCACTAGCTACACTCTCTAAAAACACCAGCCCAGGGAAGGATCCCATTATGAACAAGCATCTCCGCAACATTCCGCAGCAGGCCACCGATGTCCTACTCCAGTATCTCGATGCTTGCTGGGAGAGTGGTGAAATACCGGTCACCTGGAAACATTCAGAGATTACTACGATACCGAAACCCAACAAGCCCCTCAGCATCGAAAGCCTGCGTCCCATTTCCCTTACCTCGTGTGTAGAGAAGCTATTCGAGCACATGGTACACAACAGGCTAACCTCGTACCTCGAAGACAAGGGATATTTTCCGAACACAAAGTTCAGATTCAGGCAACATCTATCACCGCAAGACATCTTCCTTTTACTCAAGGAAGACCCCATCGATCACCTGAGAACCAGAAGCAAATCTTCGATTGTAGCCACTGATATAGAGAGAGCTTTCAACCACGTCAGCCACGACGCCATCCTCTGCAATCTTGAACATCTGAATTGTGGGCCTCGGTTATACAACTACGTGACAAATTTCCTCAAGCATCCCACGGCCACAGTGGGAATTTACAACCTTCGCAGCGACACTTTCTGACTACCGAACAGAGGTACTGCACAGGGTTCGGTCATTTTGCCATTGCTTTTCAACGTTTCATTTATCAAGTTACCCAGCCTCCTCGATGCTATACAAGACCTGTGATATGCCTTTTATGCGGACGACATTACGTTATGGACAAGGGCCTCAAATACCGGAATGCAAGAAATGCACTTACAAGAAGCAGTAGATATCATCGAGAGGTACATAAAAAAATTTGATCTTGAATGTGCTCCGGAAAAGTCGGAACACCTCATCCTGAAGTGTAGAGCGAGAGGGCGGCCTGCCACCTACATTAAACCTGACCCCAGCGTTACCCTCAACGGAAAGCTCATCAAGAAAGTGGAAACATTACTACTAGGGCTCATCATCCACAAAGATGGGTCAGGTGCGGCAACACTCCCTCAACTACGACGCACGCTACCTCAACTCACGCATCTCTCTCGTCAGGCGAATCACGAACCGTAGAAGCGACCTTAAAGAGCAAGACACACTGTGCGCGGTGCAAGCTCTCCTCAGCAGTTGAATAACCTATGGCACTCCCTACCTCGCCCTTAAGAATGCAGAGGTAGGGAAGCTAAACATCATAAATCGTAAGGCCACCAAAATCACTTTAGGGCTCCTATTCACGGCTTCCACTGCGAAACTACTGAAAATGGGCGTGCACAATACCTGGCAGGAACTAGCCGAAGCACACAGCGCTAGCCAGCTAGAACGACTAAAGCTCTCGCCCACTGGAAGATCAGTGCTACAACGGCTGAACTATAGCGAAACCTTTATAGGCGACACAGACACGAACCAAAAAGAACGGATTCCACCAAACATCCACGAATCTTTCTGTATAGCATGAATCCCCCGCAATATGCACCCCACACATCTCAAGGAAGGAAGGCAGGCACGAGTGAATGCTCTACGACAAACCCACAGCCAAGATCCGGATGCCAGATATACAGACGCAGCTAAGTATCCTGGTAGAGACTCCTACGCTTTGAGCGTCGTTGATACTCGGGGCGTACAGCTCGCATCTGCAACAGTACGCACCCGAATCCCAGAAACTGCAGAGGAGGAGGCAATTGCCCTAGCTACCACAACGTGCTTGGATGCAGCTGTGGTATTCACAGACTCTCAAGCAGCCATGCAAAACTACAGCAAAGGTCGTGTGTCTACCCAAGCAATTCAGATATTGAAGCGCCGAAGCACTCTGATGCCGTTCACCTGAGTGACATGGGTTCCTGGGCACCAAGCGCTGGAGGGAAACGAGGCGGCTCATGCCGCAGCCCGCGATCACGCCTACCTGGTACCCCTTCTCGCTTTCTAGATGCCAGTGTTGAGTCGGCGGAGGCCGAGTCTGTACCTAACACTTACTCTGCAATACTGCCACACCATAAACTGGCACGCAGAGAGTATCCACCATCACACTCGAAGCTCAACAAAGAGGACAGCACCATACTCAGAAGACTGCAGAGCAACACTTGCACACACGGCATACTAATGCACCGATTGTACCCAACATTACATGAATATGTTTGCCCGATTTGCGCCGTACCCGAAACGTTGGCCCACCTGATCCTCGAGTGTCCATGCAATACAAATACAGATCTATCCCCTCCGCCAAACACCTGCGACGCTGGTAAAGAAAACGAACACCTTCTCGAAACGTGGGAGGCCAAGCTCGCTTTGGAGGACCTGGACCAACAACGTCGCCTCGTTGCCAGGGCCAAGGAGGCAGCGAAGGCCAGAGGGTTTCTGGAATGAGGAAACCTTCCACCTAAGGTGGACGCGGAACCCACACCGCTGCACCGTTTAGAAAAATAAAACGTTTATTCCTCTTCCTCCTCACTGTTAAGGCAAAAACCTTAGATTCCTCAACAAATGTGAAAATGTCTCAAACGTGAAAATGTTTCACATGAGACTGCGTCTCACGTGAAACTGCTTCCCGCGCCTGCGGCGTCCACAAGTGAAGGAAAAAATCTCGTGCTCATGACACATTGATTAAAAAATAACTTTTCACGCTTTGACAGTTTGCGCAAGTTTCATACAGTTATTTTTGGTGCATCCTCTCTTAGGCTGTCACCCTATAACAAGCTTCATTTGCTAGCGCCAAGCCACTTTTCTAAGCAACGAATGTGTGCCTTGAATTTCGGAAACTGTGAGAAGATGCATGTACTCTATCTGTCTGGCATGCCACCACTACTCTATTGGTCATCTCGGTGCTTGCATAAAAGAAAATGGCAAACATTTCGCATAGCAAATTTGTTTTACGGGCATGCAATGAGGAAGAAGGCGTCAGTAAGCTCACCTTCATTAACTGCGTCATTTACCCATGGCAGCCGTGTCAAGGCAGCTCGCGCATAGTGTCGGTGCAGTGTCGACAGTCTCCTGCTAAGCCGACTGTTCCCGTTGGTACTAGTGGACTGGACCTTTCTGCACTAGACAAATGCGCCGGGAGGCCATGGAAAATCCTCGGCACAATGTCGGGCAAAAGTTTCGGAATGTTGCGCAGCCACTTCACAACTTCAATTACCCACTGGTCCACGTGAATCAATGTGCTTTTTCGCACACACGGGGAATAAAATGTGAAACCACCTGTTTTTTGTAGCCCTTTTTTTCTGCCGTTTACTGTCTCTAGGCTGGCAGAACACTTTTCCTTCATTTCCTTTGTAATCAGCTCGACACCCAGGTACGCAGCAGTTATACGAAATTTTTCCGATTTTCCCGCACAACACACAAGTCACACTGCCAGACATACGGCGAAAACTGCATGATGACATGTCATGATATTTTGCAGCGACATCGATAGCTGCAAACGCCACCATCTGCCTGATGCTCTACGCAGGTATGCAGCGCCACCCCACGGCCTCCGCTTGCAGTGCACAAAGCTCTGCCATAGAGTTAAGACGTAGCTTCATGACCAATAGAGTATTGAAGCACTCTGCTACTACTCATATCAACTGTGTCAATGTCAGTGGTTGTGCAATGCGAAAATCAGCTTTACTATTAAACTAAAATATCTTATCAGCAGTTATTGATCCCACAGCTTGCTCAGAGCTATCTCTGTAGTCAGGTGATCGGTGCGGCAGAGTGAAGTTAGCTTCAAAAGTTGGTGTCAGGAACTCTTTAAATAATACTGAATGTTTATGTAGAAATACATTTTACAAATGGCAGCCACTGATGTGCAAAAAAAAAAAAAAGCACCTTTATTGTCAGAAAATGACGTTCTTGGCATGCCGGTCGTGCAGTGTGATTGCTGATGGAGTGACAACAGTTCCTTGTATGTACAGATGAATTGCAGTGACGCGACACATTCGCGATAACACAAGATCACTTCTTCGGTGTCCCCGCTACCAGAGGTGGTCGCATGGGGCCTGGTCCTGGCCCCATCGGTCCCATCATGGGCCCCATAGGCCCCATCGGTGGCCTCATGCCTGGAAATAACAAGAAATTGTTTTGGAGATTCTACGAGTGATACTTCAAACTGGGAAAAAAACGATGGCCATACACCAGGTGCATGACCAATTAATGATGATGATGATTATTCCCGGAGGAATGGCATAACTTAACAAGGAGGGGTGATTCATTACAAAAGATGCAACAGAATAACTTGTGAAAAATAATAAATGCATTATCTTATCAGCAATCTATCTTTTTTTTTTTTGTCTTCACAATTGCCCCTACTCCCCTATTTAGTGCACTTATTCAAGAATATCTGCTTTTGGTATGACACAGGAGCAGAAGCTAAAATATTCAAATATTTAAACTCAAGATTTTACGTGCCAGAACCACGACATAATTACCAGGCATGTTGTGGTGATTCACAACCCTGCATTAATTTCGACAACATTCAATTGTTATAAACCCACCAATGCTTCCAATGCAAGATAGATTTTGTACTTTGCCGCCATTGAAATGCAGGTGCAGCACCCTGACCGAAACCGCCATTCGTTTAGCTTATTCCCGAGTCTCACTGAATAGCCTTACAAACGATGGTCTATTGGCTCAATGGTAAAGCAAAAGCTGCTACATGGGATATTTCAAAGGCCATCAAGTCAATAGTCTCTATTGAGTCAACTGAGCACCTCAGAATTCTAAATTTCACTGAGTGACAAAAGCGGAAACAGTGCAGACACGCCCTCTCATACACAGTGAACTATACTCACAGTTAGAGGAAAGAAATATAACCAGTATGGTTTAAAGGCGGCATACTTGAGCTTTATGAGTTATCTGATGAGTACGTTTGTCCACAATGTGTGAACTGCAGATACTCTCGACAAAAGAGACGTGCATGCCCTGCTGTGCTTTGCTCGTCACAGTTTCGCTCCTCTACAACTTAGAAGCAACATATGCATTCGTAAACACGCACAAGTAATTTGTTAAAATGACCTAAAACGATTAAACAAATACAACGAACATATTTGCACTTTTAAGGGGATGTATACTCTTCTACTTTCATTGATTGTGAATGCAAAAATGAAGATCCATAGCAACCGACAATTTTTTGGGAGAAACAGCTGAACCATACGACGAACATTTAGAACTGCCGTCTAACAGCAACACAACTCTATTGAGTCAATACAGTTGTGGCATTTCGATGGCCATCAGCTCCATGGCCTTTCAAAAGTACTCCTGACAACTAACAGACAATGATGAAAAAAGAAGTATAGGAAATGTTATTAGAAGTAATTGTAATGTAAACATGATGAAAGAAAAGTGGACAAAAAGATAACTTGCCACCGGCAGGATCCAAACCTGCCCCCTTCGAATAATGCGTTCAATGCTCTGCCACTGAGCTACGGTGGCGGTCATCTCTTCGTCCACTTTATGGGGTATTATATGCGCATTCAAACGAGGCAGCGTCGACTCAGATGAGCCATTTAATCAAATTGGGAGCAGAGTAGAGGCAACTAAAGTACACAAAACGATGCTTCTCACCTGGCATCATCATGTTGGGGGGCATTGGGCCAGGAGGTCCCATCATAGGCATAGGGCCTGGCATAGGCCCCGGCATGGGGCCTGGCATGGGTCCCATGTGGGGCGGCCCAACTAGTGGCATCCGCTGTGGAGGACCCGCTACAGAGTAATAAAACAGAGAGAACAGCAATTATGAGGTCCTCTCAAAAATAGCTAAAATCAACATAAGCTTTCATAGTAGGTTACAACCTAAAATGTCAGCTAAAACAAAAATCAAACAGCCCTTACATTATTTCGTAATGTCAAGAACTCTCGAGTTTTTCAGATAGCTTGACTTTTCTACACAGCCGCACATTAGTGTCACTGGTTTTTTGGTCAGAAACCTGAACATCTGAGTGATTCTCGTCACAATTTCTGACATCAATTATCGGCCAAATGTAACATTCAACGCTTCGAGTGTTCTTGCCATACATGTACGGCGGTTTTCTGTCCCAGGGTGCCTTTGCCACACAGGTACATTTCCCAACCCTCCACTTGAAATTTCGTGCCGTAAAGACAATGCATGCTGACTGGGAGGTGCTGCCATCTCCTAGGATTTATGAGAAGCATTGAAAATGAGTGTGCTACCTTCTCCTGAAGGTAAACAGAGTGACAGGGAGTCGCACAGTCTATGACAAAGTCAATTAACACCATACTGTGGTTAGTACAAAGTGCACAGCTAATGGTGGTACTTTTTAAAAGGCTTTCAAAATGTCATAGGTGGGTCATCTACGAAGGGGATTAGTCACCAGGGCTGCAACATTTCAATGCTGATGTCCAAAATTACTAAAATATGACCGCCGACTCGAAGTTTTTTTTCATGGTTTCATCCTTCACACACAGTGACCACAGGAATTGCATCAAGGGGAAAAAAGAAGAAAAAAAAAGGAGGCTTGGGCCAGTCATTCAGATGTAGCTCATAAAAGTGCATGTTAAATAAAATTACACTGTCTCCCACTAAAGGAAATCATGTTTGGATGCAATCCAGCGGAAGATGGTGAATGGCGCCCAGAGAAACTAGTCTAAATCGCCTTAGTTAAGGGGGGACGTGGCAAGTAAAACTAATTTTTTTATTAATGTACTGTTTGTGATGAAATTTGGTGTGTGTATGTAGATGATTGTGAGGATTCCAAATATGAAAACCGTTTTCAAATACCTCTTGTACTTTTTGAGTTACAAGCATAATTATACTAATTAATGCTCTTCACACTTAAAGAGATAATTATTGCTAAATGAAATTATTTTTTCATATTATTATGTTCCCAAAGCATCAACTTGTGCAAAGAAGCTATTAGTTGATTTTTCTAGTTCTTGTAACCATAAATAAAATTTCCAAAACATGGATGTTCTTTTGCGCACACATCGCAGTAATTATAAAATGTGTTCTAAAAATTTTAAATGATGAGTAAGAAGAGAGATAAAGCTTTATTGCACTGCTAAAGGCCTCCTGAGCCTAGTGCAAAAAACGGAACGACTCTATCAGTCTTTGTTAAAAATGACAGATGTTCTAGCGAAGGCACATAGGCGAAAATCAAGAGTTGAGAAAACTGACTTTGAAAGTTCACTCTTGTTTGGAAGTTCACAACATGCCTAAAACACTCAGAATCCTCCTGGGCAGTAATCCTGAGATGCTGTGGCCTTGGCCTCTGTAGAGCGCAACCCAGTTTTGCGCTTCTTTGTCGTGGAACAATGCGCCTTTTGAGCCCTCTTCACCCTTTTGGCATCCTTTTCGGCTGCTCGCCGCAAAGAGCAGTCTCCTGGATTGAAGCCCAGTTGAGCAGTGATCTCTTGCAGCGCACTCTTGCAGCCACCATTGAAACGGCAGACTGCATCTGCAACTGCACTTTCCACACTTCGAAGGGAGGCGAACTGGCTCTTGGACTGGAGTGACCAAATGAGGCTGTTCATACTCTCCACAGCGTTCTGGGTTTTTCCCTGCGCACACCTTTCAAGGAGCTCTTTGTCGAGAGGCGCTTGTAGATTGGCAGCAGTGCCACTCGCACGTGAGGGGGCAGTTTATGTTTGTGAGGCGGCAGCGGCTCTCCCTTGGCCAATGCCTGATTGTGCGGGCACCAGGAGTCAGTCCCACTTGGGCACAGGTCGTGGTGTGGATCCTGGTCTGTGGATGTTACATGGTAATAAGTGGCCATGATGGCCCTCTCCATGCCAGGAACATCGTTGGGGTGGCTCTTAATGGCCCAGCCATAATAATTCGTCAACTTCTTTATAAGGCCCTGCGTCAGCCGGCCTTTGCCACCCATGCTCAGTCCTCGGCCTTTGGATTTGTGCTCATCAAGAAGGTTGCGCAAGGAAGTGCCCATTCTTTTTTTCACATGGTTCACACACTCCTGTTTCTTAATCAACATGTAGCCATACACCTTGTCTTGCGTGAGGGCAAGGTACGTACGGCTGTCACCGTCGCAGAGCACATTGATGTATCGAAGCTTGTACTTGGTAAACGATCTTTCAAACATGATCCTCGCTGCTTCTACTTCCATTTGGCCTGCATTAGCATCGGTGTTCTTTTGGCACTGTGGCTTGTGTTTCTCAAGCCACTCCTCATAGTTGTCGTCACCAGGCTTGGGGCCAACAGCACAGCCTTGGCAGTAGTTGGACAGGACACAGTGGTCCAAGACCAAGCCTGTGTACAGCTCGATTACACAGCCCACGCCAATATGACTTCTGTGCCCCCTCGTCATCCACGTGCCGTCGTAAATGACGTCAATGTTGCCTGGCACTCCTCCTAGGTCCTTGTAAATGTCATGCACCTTCTGTGCACTTTCTGCTTCAATGCGGGTGGCAGCTGATGTGGTGGCAGGGTGGCTGTACTTCCTTTGCAGTCTCTGGTAGGACTTGTGGTGCAGTGCTCGATGCGAAATGTCCATCGCAGAAAAAATGTCATTTATGGCAGATTGTTTTCTGCCAACTGACTGCACAGCCCTCAAAGCACGCACGTTTACCTCAAAGGGGTTCGTTTTTTGTTGCCCGGAGCACCTCGGGGACGACCACGCACTGTTCACTATGCCACAATTGTCACAAAAAGTTCCATCCTCGCCGCGAGTCCAAGGCAGTGCGTAGTCTCGAGGCGTATCGACCCTTCGTCGCACTTGTTGCACTTTACTGACGAAAGCAGACCGTTCAGCATCTTCTTATTTACAATGAAGAATGTGGAGTCCTTACCGCCGTCATTTTCGTCGCAGCCTTCGTTCAGAAGCTCGAGCTTAAACATCCCGCCTTGTCTGCGCCCGCTGCGCGATTTCTTCACTGCTCGGAATCTGGGCCGAAACTCGCGATAGAATGTTCGACGCGCGCACGCCCGGAGTTGCAACGGCTGCCGACGCGGTGCCACCGCAATCGGGTTCGCGAGAGCGTCCATCACGGTCGACGGCATCCGGCGGTCTGACATACGACGATGTGGCACCTTCCACACTCTCGGCCTCACAACAATCAGCGAAGGGTCTGAGTAGAGGCTCCGTGACGCTTGAAGAGCATGCTCCGTCCGGAACTGCGACTGGGACGGCAGCCGCAGTCGTCTGCCCTTTGTTCCAAGCTTTCCGACGCTTGCCGTACTTGTGGACGCTCCGGAACTTTTTTTGCGACAACATAGCACCGCAGTATGAGCAAGCACTCAGAAGAGACCACCGATGTAAACAAAGCTTGGTAAAAAAAGCACGCGAACTATCACAAAAACAGCCAACTGGCAAAAAACGAAGCGCACGCCGGATGATTCTCGACTCGGCGGCCGCAGATGCGCTCGCGCTTCCAAGGTTGCCAAGGTGCGCGGCGCAGCTTTGACCAGTAAGAGGTCGCGCCTGCTACCACGTGACCCGCGCAGCCAATTGCCGTTCTTCGTTTTCGTTTTTTTACTTGCTCCTCGCGCTTTTATTTTCACTCGGCGAAATACGAGACCGCGACCATCGGGAAGCCGGCTTTCTCCTCTTTCTAAAGCTACCAAAATGGCGGCCCACGGTCAACAACTTGGCGCGTTTGTGCGGCGTGAACAACACCGTTTCAGGGGCTTTTTTTTCGCACTTTTCGGCGACTAGCCTCGGCAAAAACACTATTTGCGGGATTTGTAGCGCACGTTTCGCTGTAATATTTTAGAACAAGAAAGTTGAAGGTCTGAAGATTACGAAAAAAAATAAATCAGAAAATCGCATATTTTGACCAAAATCGGCACTTTACTTGCCGCGCCCCCCCTTAAGCAGGTGCACCACTATTCAGAACCTCTACCTAGACTAACTCTCCCAGTGACCGCTGCTAGTGACTAACACTGCCGGTGACCATGACTATAGGACCGCCAAACGGCCGGTCCCTCAATGCACACGCCAGAGACATCAAATGTGATTCCATGCTAACCAAAGAAGATGTGCTCTGTCTCACGAAAACGTGGAACACCACAAGACCGACGATCAACGCCTAAAGTGATCGTGTGCACTCAGGAAGCGTTTCATAGCCTCTGCCAGCCGCTTGTTTGAGAGCACCGACTTAGAGGCCAGTGTCATGGTATGAGCCCGGAATATGCAATTAGTAGCTTGCTGAATCAGACTACAGCCACCAGGGCATCGAACAGAGACCCGTAAGTGTAAACGGCAGCGCTGCAGTCTTACATTGGTATAAAATGGCCAAACAAGCAACATAGTCAGGTTTTCTATCCGCCTTGATGCTATGCTACGCGCATTCTGGCTCCTAAAAAGCATGGATTGGATTGAGTTGGAATTTTCACCAGTGTTGTCAGATAACGTGCAGGAATTGTGAGTGCTGGGTAATTTACCTCTCAACTGTACAACTGTAAGAAATGGTTGAAATCCGACATCCTTCTGAAAAATTCGGGAGACTTGGCAGATGTGCATGTGACCTTCCAGCGTAAAGCTCAAAAAGCAATCGAGATAACTTTTTTCTCAGCGAAATAGTAAAGCAATCAGCAAAACTTCATAGAACGAGCCCAAATCAGTAAATTACAGAAAATTAACACGAGTTTGCTGGAGTGCTTACGTTGTAGCGCGGCTGGTGGAGGAATCATGGCACCGGTCAAAGGCTTGGCCTGGAATTGGGAGGACTGTATCTTTCCGGCCTTGAATGCCGCCGCTGAAAAATATGAAACAGTTGCGGAGCTGGTCAGACTTCAAGCAAGAAAGAAGGGATATGCAAAACAAACATGTATAGAGCATGGTTTCACTGTCAACGTCATATTGTCCTCATTTGCCCATTCACGAAATGCAAGGAAACTTGTTAGGGTATGCCGCTGGGTGAGTTGCTACAAATCCACAATGAAACATTACCTTGTGAAAAAAAAAAAAAAAACCCTTCAGTACTTCAGCACATGGAGGAAAAACTTCAGTACATGTCTTTCTCTTTGTTTCTTTCCTTGTGCTTAAGTCTCACTAATCAACTAAATGTTGCAGTACAATAGTGAAGGGCGGATCGTGTCAAGGGATACCAAACATTCACTCAGCATCTTCTAGCCCCAACCACATTCTTAAAGCCCGACTGCATTCTTGAATGAATTGATTTGATTGATATGTGGGGTTTAACGTCCCAAAACCACCATTTGATTATGAGAGACACCGTAGTGGAGGGCTCCGGAAATTTCAACCACCTGGGGTTCTTTAACGTGCACCCAAATCTGAGCACACGGGCCTACAACGTTTCCGCCTCCATCGGAAATGCAGCCGCCGCAGCCGGGATTCGAACCCGCATTCTTGAATGAAAGGCGGAAATTTTGAGTGCCCACAGAGATGCCAGGCGCACACAGAGCATGCATCCCAGTAGCAGCTAAAGCTAAAAAAGTGTTTTTTCTAGACCCCTTTTTAACCACTCTCGGGGCAACTACAAGTACACTTGCGTGGCATTCACTACACCACGAGCCATCAATTTTTATGAATTGATGGATCGCGCCATTATTCGTTATTCTGCAGAAAAGTGAGGGTACCAGCCACGCATCTGTAAGACATTATATGAGTGTTGTCGATGACAAACAATTATAACTGAACCCTTTGTAATGAATGGAAATTAATAGATGACCCACTTATTATGCATCGACTGGTTATTTTGCTATTCTAAAATGCTCTATTAGACATGTCAACAAGATTCCTCCCTGATATGATGACTGCTTAAGGACTCTTGGCAAACGAATCTCAAGCACTGGTGTGGCTCTGTGGTAGAATACTGGGCTGCCACGCAGACGACCCAGGTTCGAATCTCATTCGATTCTAGATATTTTTCATTTATTTAGTTGCTTTTTCTCCACTTCATTTCGCGTGACAGCAGTTACGGACACCAATGACGGACAACTACGGCACTAAAAACAGCTGCTGTCGTGATCTCATAGCCGCTTTCGGTGTAAAAAAATCCGCATCGTTTGAGTGCCTTGCATGGTTACTCTTACCTATTGCTGAGCAAGGTATCCCTCTACATGGTGAATATTCTACCCAAAAGCAATGTAGACAGTCATTGAAAAAAAACCTACAACACAAATCTGAACCCTGCCCCTTTTAGTTGTTTGCATCTTTGTACATGCAAATGATCTTATGTAATAGCACACTCTTCGAGGGTGCGCATCTGTGTCACGAACAGTCCAGACTACTACAAAAAATTCAGCCCCAAGGCCAGTTTACTAAGCAACTAAGGTTTCATGTTCAAATAAATGTCTCACAGTACACAGGTTCTAATGGGCTCCTGACACAGACGAGGCGCTCTCTTCCACATTTCGCTGGTGTGTAACGAGTAAGTAAAATGGTTTAGTATCGGAAAAGCCCACCCCGTCGCCCTATCCAGCAGGGGCTTTGATGCAATCTAGCATGCACGTGCACTCACTTGTGGCATCAATGAGGTTTTGGGCCTGCTCCTCCATCCATTTCTGGTAGTAGAACTTGACGTTTTCCTTGTGCTTGCGACCATTGCAGTGGGTCTTGCGCACCGATGGCTGTGTGGACGTGGGCATCAAGGACAAGGTGTCAATGTGTAGGCGTACAAGATTTAGTCGGTGTGTGAAAACTCTTAACTCTCTTAAGGTAGCCAACTTCGGCAACATCCCTGTCGTAGTGAAACCACACAAATTTCTTGCAGTGTATACTAGAGGATACCTGGTGCAGTGATTGTTTAGCCCATCAAGGGAATAATGCGTAGTACACTTAAACCTTAATGTAATGAATCTGGATATAACAAAATATTGGTTATAACGAAGTAAATGAAGGATAGTCTTGCAATAAACAGTGTTAAGAAGATACCTTTATCATAAATTTTCAGATATAACGAACTTATTTTCGTGCAAGTTTCAATATCGTTACGAGGTTTGAGTGTAAACGGATTTGCCTAGTTAGTCTTTTTGCTTGCAGCTTTGAGCACGTTTGCGGCTTCGTTTATTGTCGTATTTCGGCTTTCACTTTGGATAAAAGAATGGCTGGTTGTGAACCTCGTGAGCCGATTTGAATTGGTCAGCCACGATCAATGTGGTAAAGCGGGACAGTTGAACCTTTGCTGAACTTCGTCTACAACCAAGTGGCCGCAGGTCACCGGAACCGAAAAAACGAAGCTTTAAAGATCCACGTAAGGTCAATCACACTTGTCTAGAGCACTCCACCGACCGCGTCAGCTACCATTTTCTTCAGAAACATGCATGCTGCAATGCTGTAATGACGCCTAACATAGTATTACTGCACACTAGGTACTTGTGCTAATATTCAAGCATGAATAGAAGCTTGTAGCTAACGTGACGTAGCAGCTGTGGAAAACAATAGCGCCACCGCTCACGCGCTTTACCGCTCTAGACAAGTGCGCTTTCGTCTCTACTAACCATTACTCCCATGACGGCTGAAGCGCCGTACAGTGCGGCTCCCAGACACTCGCACCACGTTATCTTCCGGCGAGTTATGAAACTAAGACCAAGCTTTGCTAGTTTGTCGGCGCTCTTGTATTCACGAGTAGTTAATGCCGAAAATTGAAAATCCAGACGCGAGACTAAACAAAACGAGCGGGGCGATAAGAAAAAAATAACGAACGCATTGAAACAGACCACGATTTGATTACGATCCTCCTTGGCAAGTTCATTACCTACCGCTGCAACGCCGGCCCGGGTTAAGCAAGAGGGCTGTTATATTCATGCTCTGTCGCCATCAGGCGCATAAACAAGATGGCCACGAATACGCCGACAATCGTATCGTTAAGCAGTCATCGTATTTCAAAAGACTAGCCGTCGTTGGGCGGCGGAAGATCTTAGCGCAACAAAGGGACAATCACTTACCGAGTCGTGCGTGAGATAGGTGTCACAGTAGTCACAGTAGTACCTACAACATGTGAAAATGGGAGACAAGAACATAGAACAAACGTAGCGAACCAATCTTCGCACAGACACGCAACCGCTGATGAGGAAGACGGAACACGATTTACGACAGATTTATGCAAATTAAACGTGCCCCACCACATCGGTTCAATTACCATTAGCTCTTATCGGTCGCGAGGACCTTGACGACAAAAATTGCGAGAGAAACGGTGGTGCCCGTCCCGAGTAATGACTACGTTACTTACTTTAGGCTTAAGCTCTGAGCACACCGCTAACTTAGCGCCGTAATAGCTTTCAAAAAGAGGAAAATTAAGTGAAATGCTTTACGCAGCCGTAGCAGGAAAGCGGTGGAGAGTTTTCGTATTAAATCGAGCTCTTACGGTCTGCAAAAAAAAAAAAACAGAGAAATGAAGAAACAAAACGAAAGATTTACACACCCGTCGCAAAACAAACACTTGGTCAATGCTTACTTCGGCATTTCGATCCGGCTGGCTCCTTCCTCTTCGGACTGGCGATTGAACCGTAATGCTAAGAAAGCAACGATTCACTGCCGTCTCACATAACACAGAACGGCGAAGGCTTTACGTATTAGTTTCAATGGCAATAAATTATCATTAAGCGATTTGTCTTCGGCTTCGCTACACAGCAACAGCACCCAACGCACTACTGAATAAGTCAGTTTGCCTTCTACGAGCTCTGCGTACTATTTAGACTTCCGCAACATATTGTTGCCATTTGCAATTTTACAACAGCTTCGTGCATTCATATTGTTAACTTACATATATGCAACTACATTGTAGAACTTAATACGGTAAAAGAGTATATATGAAACGGCATAAAACACGCACAGCGAACGAATAAAACTGTTTCGCCAAGCCAAGCGAACATATTTGTGTCGTCTAGCAACAACAGTCCCATTTTTTCTTTAATTATGACATAACTATGGTGGCTAGAATTGGGAGGTGACGCCAGCGCCCGCATATTCGCCGAGCGCGCGCGATCCTCGTTTTCAAGCGCCGCCGCGACGGCCACCACGGCGCTCCTGTCGGCATAGTGATGCGGGCGAAGCGCGCGCTCCGCGCTCTCTCGTCGACTCGCCGCTGGGTTCGCTGGTTCGCCTCTGGAAGCGTGTCTGGGTGTGTGCAGTTTTCCGCGTTGATGTCTCGCTTATGGCAAAATGTATTTAGTTGCTGACATGACAGTGTGAGTGCCGACCTTAGGGTGAACTCCAGCACTACGAAAGCGAGGCAACGCCACTGCTTTGCTCCTGGCTGCACGAGCGGCTATGTGTCATCGAGGGAGCAAGGTCAGCGTGCTTCTCTTTTCTCTGTTCCCAAAGACCCTGCCCTCTTCGAAGCCTGGCAACGAGCCGTACCCCGTGCCGACAAGTCGTTGGACGTGAAGTCGGCGCTATGTGAGCTTCATTTCGACGAGCAGTTTATTGAGCGTTTTTACACGCATGTGATAAACGGCGAAACTGTTCAGATTCCCCGAGGGAAACCGGTGCTGAAATCTGACGCGGTGCCAACCATATTCCCAAATGTTCCTGCGTATCTTTCAAAGAAAGTGCCGAAGAAAAGGACGTCAAGAACATCCACTTGCGGCCTACCATCGAAAATTCGGCGTCAGGAACCAAGCACGTCTGCTTGCGAGGAGACAGCTGGCTCGTACAGCACAGAAAGCGACAGTAACCAAATACCTGTTCCGAATGTGCCCGCAATTCCCGACGTCCGCAAGTGTGGTCTTCCCAGCGCTTACTGGGCTCGACATCTAATTGCTGGAGCCGACAACGCCACGGTGTTTACAGTTTGCGCACTAGATGGTGACAAGTTGACTATTGACAAGTATGTGCTAATGACATCAGATGAAAACAAACTTCAAGCGACAGCTTTTGTGCAAGCCACAAAAATAAAGACCCTTGACATTACCGACATCGAAATGGCCGAAGAGTTGCTTCGCGACGTCGACTCCATGATACCATGCAGAGGGTTTGGTAAAACTGGTGAATTTGGAGTGAATTTAAAGTACAAGGAGAAGACTTTTGATGGCAGAACCTTCAGCCCATCTTGCCGTGGGGTTGCTCCAACGCCAGAAAAAGCCTGCCCACAATGCAAGCACCTCAGAAGACTACTCCTGAATCGTGAGTCCTACAGGCGAAGAAAAGGCAAAAATGTGGCCCAGTCCCAAAAGTTTTCATACAGGCTTAAGCTGCGAACAACGCAAGCGAAAAGGAGTCGCCTGAGTGTCCTGCAGGCTAAATCACTCATCAAACAAATGAAAGAAAAGAATGCACGGAATGATTCTACAGCATTTGAAGAAGCGGTGAAGGCCCTACCCATTAAGCAGCAGCAACAAGTCAAGGCGTGCTTTGCTGCGGCTAAAAGAAAATCCACGAAAGGGATGAAGTATGAAAGTGAATGGGCTCTAGAGTGCCTTATTATGTCCATGCAAAGCCCACGCCTCTATGAGCATATACGCAAAAACAACATCATGGCGTTGCCTTCTCGAACATCACTACGTCGATATCTCAAGCGTTACAGGAGTGGATTCGGCCTGAGCGAAAAAGTGTTTGCTGCTGTGGCGGAAAAAACAAAATCTATGGACTTGTTCCAGCGCCATGGTGGGCTGTTAATTGATAAGATTAAGCTATCTGAACACTTGAGCTTGGGAACCGATGGCACCATCGAAGGTTTTGTGGACCTTGGGAAGTTCACACCAGAGAGTGAGCGCTCCGTAGCATGTGACCATGGCCTTGTAGTATTGTTCGTGCCTTTTACAGGCACGTGGCACCAGATTATTGGTGTGTTCGCATCACGCAGCAATGTCAAGTCCGAGACGTTAGGCAAAATAATCCTCGAAGCAGTAGTCATGAGCGAAAACGCCGGTCTGCACGTAGACTTTATCACCACTGATGGAGCTGCGTGGAACAGAAGCATGTGGCACTCATTCGGCATACACGGCAGGAAAGAAAACACAGTATGTAGAAGGCAGCACCCTACAGACCCAGAACGTTTCTGCACTTCATCTCGGACTTCCCACACCTTCTTAAATGTGTGAAGAACACCTTTGTTCGAACGGGCGTGAAACTGCCAGAAGGCCATGCCAGTGTTGACCCTATTGACTGTGCCCGGAAGCTTGATGAACAGCATGACACGACTCTCAAAGCCATGCCTCATATTAGCAAATCGGTTGTGCATCCCAATGGCTTTGAGAAAATGAGGGTAAATTATGCAGTGCGGCTTTACAGTGATGAAGTCCTCAGAGGCCTTTTCTTGTACAATGCAACCATCGAAGAAAAGCATGGGAGCACAGCGGCGACAGTCAGCTTTGTGGAAAGAATGAGAAGGCTCATTGAGGCCATGACTTCAAGGTGCAGTTCGGGTGCGCTTAAGCCTGGAGGGATGCACGAGAAGTGCATTCAAAACTTCTTGACTTACCTGGACGATTGGGAAACAGCTGCTGGCTCCGGAGGTTTCCTAAGCCGCAGTACAGCCGAGAGGCTTCGTGTTACCTTATCAAGCACGCTACACCTTCTCCGCTACCTGACGATGAAGTTGAACTTCAGCTATATGATGACATGCCGCTTGAGTCAGGACCCCCTGGAGAGGCTGTTTGGAATCGTCCGACAAATGTCTGGATGCAATGATCATCCGACTGCCTCCCAGTTCCTAATATCGGTCAACACTTTGAGCTTCCAGAATTTGGCAAAACCACCGAAAGGAAGCAATGTGTCCTCAGGACTGCTGAGAAGTCTGCTGGGAGCTGACAACGGAAAGGACCTCACTCCTCGGAGGAAATTAGACGAGCTTCTTGACGTAGAAAACCTTGCCGAAGCACATGAAGTGCTCAATGAATACGGCCACGGCACCGAGCATGCAGACATGGTCGTGCAAAGCAGCGATGCCAGACTCATATTCTACATGGCTGGATATGTGGCAAGAAAAAGCGTTGCAAGCACCAAATGTGCAGAGTGCAGCCAGCAGCTCCTACAAGGCGAGAACGATCCATCTCCAGCTGCAGCATCCCTCACGGCTGCTGTTGACCGAGGAGGCCTGCTGTACCCATCAGTCAAGCTCAATGAACTCGTGACCACTCTCGAGAACACTTTTACCCACTGCTTCAGTGTTACAGAAGTCAAACCTGACAGCATCATGGACTTGGTTTCCTTCTTGCAGTTAAGAAAGCTTACACTTGTTGGCTGCCCTGACCACAGTATGTCCCTCACAAACAAAATTATCAAGTTTTATGTTCTTACTAGGCTCCACTTTCATGTGAAAGCCCAGAACAGCAAACGAAACGCTAAGCAGGAAAGAATGAAATTGCTGAAGCTTAGACGCGTGCTCTGAGTTTGATATTGTAACTTTAAGCTCTATTGATTTTTTTTTTGCCGAGTGGAAAGTGATTGTATGCCTCTTATTACTTAGTGCCAAGCGATGCGCTGTCTGTGTGCAATGTTTCAATGTTTTTAACTACTCCCGAGCGTATGTAAATGTGCGTATTTTTTCATTTTATTTTATTTTACCCTGTATTCCATGATGTGCAATAGATCTTCCTAATAATATGATGTGCAATAAATATTTGTTTTATTTTCCTCGCCCAGAACTTTGGTAATATTTTTTTTAAAAAAACGCCGTCGCCTTGCACTTCAAAACACTGCAGGGATATGCGAACGAAAGCTTTAATTTGCGCAGATTCAACGTCACAGAAGTCTTGCAGCGGCAGCCAATTTCTTTTAATGCTTGAAATGGCGTTCTATCAGCCATCGTCACAGTGAGTTGTCTGAATCGCCAATTTATCTGAATCATACTTCAGCAACAGCATCTTTGAAAGGTCCGCGCGCTCCAGGCGCGCGCGCGTAACTAGCATCACCATTCCGCCGACAGCGCCACCGCCGCGCTGCTCGAAACGAAGGAGCGGCTCCGAGCTCCCGTTGGCGTCACCTCCCAATTCTAGCCACCATAACATAACAAAAAAGAGCAGCCGCATCGGAAATTTCAAGGTGGGCAGCTCCACGGCAATGGTGCGTGTCGTGCGATTGCGCCGCAAATGCGCGGTCTTGGACCTTCTATTCGGTGCGATTGTGTTCGCCACGCTACTGGACATTTCGAGGACTAAGGATGTCTTCGAAGACGCCGAGACAGAACTCACGGTCACCCTGCGAGCGGGCGGTATCGAGTGTTTTCACCAGCCGGCAAAAGTCGGTCAAGTACTCGAAGTAGAATATCAAGTGAGTGCTTCCTTTCCACTGTGCGTTTGAACGGCGTGATTTCCCAGCTTGCTCGCGTACTCGTTTACGGCTCAGCACGCGTTGTAGCCGCAGGACGCTGCGATACTTTCGTATAGCGTGTCTGTGCGCTACCTGTTTTGCTTTCCTCCCCCGGCGGGGTTTCGCAAGAGATCGCCTTAATTGAACGCTCTTTAGCTTGCGGTGAGTAGTCAGTACAATGTCTGCACTGGTGAGAGCTGTCATGAAATTTGGCCCGTCCATATCGTTCTTCGGTTGGGCGTTACAGCCAGCGATTCGTTCATACCAAGTTGATCGTTTCATTAGCCCGATAAGCTAAGTGCGCGCTGCCCGTCTCGTTCCACGTTACAGCCTAACATTTTACTCCTGTGAAACTATAAATAAAAACGCGTTCATGCCATTTCAGGCTAGCTCCATTGAAGAGGATGCGCGCCTGAGTTGGTGGCGATTGTGCTCAATCATCTCCACTCCACTACGAACACTGAGGCGTTGTTTGTTCGCGAAGTGTTTAGGGCTTATTTTTGCTTTGCTGCTGGCGCCGATTAATGAAACAAGGAAACCGCGAAGGTGTGCATGGCTGTATTGGTGCAAAGCGAACTAGCATCTTTTGCGCGCCGCAACAGTACGTCGTCTAATTGCGTATCGAGCAATCTTGAACGGGAAACGGCGTAGTTTGTCTTCACGCGGAAACACGGTTCTTGGCGGGTCGTCTGCACGGTGTTTTTTTAACGCTACTGTTCCGAATGCTACCGCGCGGGCTCCGATATCGATTCGCATTCGATATTTGCCTACGTGATTGCCGTTGTGTGTAAAGTAGCCGCCCCCTTTTCGAATCACGAAACATCACAGTTTCGGGAGGCACAGTCGATGCCGGAATGTTGAGAAAAAGCAATATATCGATGTCGTTGATGTGGCGCGAGGTGGCATGAAGGCGCACGCTATTGGCGATGGCAGCTTTCGTTTCCTCGATCGCGTTTTCCTTTCCCTCTCGAAAGACGGAGGGACCGTTTTGTTGGCCGCCTGTGATTCGTCCGTCATTTAAATCGTCACGGGGCTCGTAAAAGTGTGCGACGTGTCGCTCACGAAGGACCTTTTGCGGAAACCATTATTGTTGCGTTCGTATCATCCCGTGTGGCCGTGACGTACAAAAGCCAGCTGGCAGAAGCTTGCCTGCAGTGATCATTCGAAGGGCCCGAGAAATCATTATTTTGAATCATGTCGATGCTTTCTACATATAAAATGTACGTGTCACGAGTACGGCAGTCTCCTGCTCTACCAGGTGTTTCTAAATGTGGACAGTAGCTTGCGGCCTTGAAAATAAAAATAAAGGGTGCCTTTTGTTATACACTTGCAACCTTTGGCTTCAATGTCTTGAAAAAGAAGGAGACACCACACAAAAGGTATGAGTAAAGGAACAGATTCTGTAATCTTCCTGCCAACTTTCTCACCGGTTGTGTCTGTTATTCAAGAAAGTGACATTGACAGCTCTTGCAGATGGCCGGTTTTACCAATCATGGTAATGAAGTGGCTGGCATTATGTTCCCAAAGACCTAGCTAGGTCATTCGAGTTGACATTTTGGACCACCTGGTCTTATCGCCGCGTTCGCATGCATCCTTGAGATCATCCGTTTTGAAACTGTCGGGAGGCTTGCTGCTCGTCAAAGTGATTTGTGCAAGATGCGACGTCTCACTTTCGGAGTTAGACATTGTCCTCACTTTTCAAAGTCTTTCATCGTGGCAACACTGCGTTTTAGAGCTCCCTAAGTTGCAGTAGCCTATGCTTTCTTTTTCATAATAAGGGCATCCCGAGGGCGCCACAAAACCTGAACGGGCGGTAAAAAAAACCGTCAGTATGATAGAGCATTGGTTGTATGCCAAGAGATGGCCTGTTTGTCGAGATAAAAACAAAATAAATCTCTCTAGAAGGTAGTCTACCACAACGAAAAAGAGGAGAGGGGAAACATGTCTATGTTTTGAAACATGAGAAACGCTAAAGCATGTCGCTTGCTCAGTATAATTTGGAAAAAAAAAATGTTGCCGAGCATTTTGCCGCTGAGTGTAAGGCTGTGTATTTCAGTCTTGATTGTGGCAGCTGCGTTGTAACAGAAGCATAAATAACAAACTCCATTTAATGATCTCCTAATGAGAAGTTTTAGTCTGCTGGTCTACCATGCTGCTTACAGCCTCCGTCAGATAGTGTCAAATACCACTACACATTTCACTTAATATAGAATTACATGTGTCACCTGTACGACTGCATAGTGCTGAAATGATATGCTTTTTTCTTTGACAATTTCGAAGATTGCTGCGTGCCACTATGAGGGATTCGGAGGGCTGCGGTGCTGGGTCCTTGTGAATAAGTATAGAATTGCTGTTTTTTTTTTTAAATATTATAATGGTAGTGACAACTTTTTTCTTCTCGCTCATTGGCTACTCTTTTAAAATTTGTCTCCTGAGTAATTTAAATAAAATGGTTAAAAGCAATTTAAATAAAACGAGCCTGAGCCAGTTCTGCAACCCCAAATTTGGAGCGTTATGCTGTTCTCACATTTCGGCATTTTCAAAGAGGCTGCTTGGCTCCTGTCCTGCCAACTTGGCCAAATCTCTCACATTTGTACAGGTAATTTTCGCTTATGGAAGCACTGTTCTCAGTAGCACATACTTATGGGACTTATTAAAACGCTGCAACTTCTGGAACATGTTAAAAGAAGTGGTTTATCATATTGTGCATTACTGCAATACATGACAGGTCCTCGACGCCAACTTTGGCAACATGGAGGTGCAGCAGAACATGGACATAAACTTCGTCCTCAAGTCGCCGACGGGTGAGGAGCTCATCAAGGAGCAATCCCGTACAGAGGCCATTCACAGGTGACCCAGCTTCCGCAGTAGAACTCTGATTAGGAAGCCTTTCCAACACTTGTGCATCCATGGGGGGCTTTGTTCAGACCCCTCCTCCTCACTCTCATTTGAAGTTTGTACGCGCAGTGCAAGCATAAAATGGCAAATGACAGACTTCGTAAGTCCTTCATCCCAGCTGTTACTGTGTCATTAAAACTCTCAATATAACGCAAACAGATTTATTGATTTGTAGCGATGCTTTGGAACTGTGTAATGGGTTTCCCTCTCCAGCGCCTCCTAGTGGGTAGCCTTCCCAGTAAACGGCTAACTTTTGTTGGTATGCTGGCTCCAGTGTATACAAGTGCGGATGCGTGAACAAAGTCCACAAGCAGATCTATTACGTTCGACAGACTTTGCAAAAGACCTTGGCAGTTCAATAGCGTCACAAACCTTGCCGTGTGGACTCCAAAAAATAGTTTTTTTGGGGTCATGTGGCTGCGCATGGCCACCTTCTAAAAAATAAAGGAGAAAAAGGGGTATCGAGGTTACTCTTTTAGAGGAGTAACTAACTTGTCACACCCATTGCACCCTTTTGGGAGTAACTGCGAAGGAGTAACCATGTCCTCGCGGTTACTCCTCAAAGGAGCAACAGTTAGCAAAAGAAAAATCGGGTTTTGCTTGGCTTAACCAGCCTTTCGAAGTGCATGCTGGCATTTGATTAGACATACAATCAATGTGCAAGCATTACATTCAGAAGTAAAATTTGCCGCATACACAGGGGATGCGAACTCGCGACCCTTCGGTTAGCATGCACGTGCACTACCCACTACACCACACCATACTAAGGCACCGTCTGAAAAGAAGCATGCTTGTGTAGGCACCGATGGGTCGTTTGCACATGGCGCAAGCGTTCCTGCAGTTACTCCAAAACACGGGCGCTTCACTCCACAAAAAGGAAAGTGCCCCTCTTTGTTGTTCCGTGTGCAGTCTTTTGCGCGCATTCGGTCTCCAGGAGGAGCAAAAAGCCCTTTTCAAGTGCAAACACGCTGCATTAAAAAAAAAAAAAAAAGCTCGATCAAGTTCTCTAAATCTCTGAAAAATTTGAAAAGTGCATAAACTGGTAGTACAGTGAAACAGCGCTTCTTGTGAGACTGCGAAAGGAATCGGTGGTAGCGGCAACTGGGGTGCTCACATGCAAAATGTTGCGCCATGATTTCAACATTGTGCTCTGCAAATTCTTGTTGCTTCCCACTTAGAATTACACAATAGGATTGGCATAAAATTGGCATAAGGGTAAAGATCGCCCAGAATAATGCGTGAAGCCTCGTTCCCGTGCTAGACGGTCGCAGTTTCATGGCTTCCCCAAATGAGATGTTGTGTCCTTAATACAGAGAGTGGTGACGTACCTGCGCTTACCTCCTCTATATTCTTTCCCAGATGCACACGGTATGTAGACCAGGCGCACAACTCTCAGATTGAGTGTCGGCCCATTGTGTTGGCTGGCACCAGCGAGTGTGCCTACTGTTCGTTTTTTTTTTTTTTATGTTCTGCCAGGAAACGACAATGTGAGGAAGTGTTGGGACACACTTCACCCTACACTGAGCCCTCTTAATCGTGTCCTCATTTTCACAGTAAATGCGTTTGCTGTGAACGCTTGCGGCAAGAACAAAACTCCGTACTACTACAGCCCATATAGGATTTACTATTTAATACTAGCGATACTAATAGTGCACTCTTGATATAAAATATTTACTTAATAAATTTGTACATTCCTCAATATTTTTCAGCCCATTGACATTATGCTAAATGCATATTTTATCTGGTGCGAGATTTCCATATAAATGTTGTTCATAAAGCTGAGTGGCTATAAAGACGGGGCTGTTTCTTGATACCACGGAGTAATTCCCATTCAACTGCTTTATTACTTGATGAACAAAAAAGTCGCAGCTGCTTGAAAGACCTTTTTTTACAATCTCTAGACAATTTACCGACCATTTCAAAAAGTGGTCTGGCCAAGGGTCTGACTTTAAATATCTGGAGGATTACTAATGCCAACATTCAATTAGATTAAGTTTCGGAAATATTATGTTCTCTGTGTTAGATATCTACAATAGTCTGTCAATAGCACTCTGGAAGGACTTCAGATATTGGTGTCAAGCCAACGTTTGGCACTGTAAAATTTGGCTGTGAATGGCGTAACCATTTTGTGATTGATAGCTGGACAGACATAATTCGTACCACTTTGACTGACTCCCACAGACCAGCAATCTTAACAACAATGAACAGGTCAATGTCATCAATTGAAAAACTGAAAAAAAAAAGTAAAAGAGAGAGAGACAGCACCTCACAGAGTACACTATGATCGGTTTGAACAAAGCTTTATGGTTGATATGAATCCACTTTTTTCGAAACGCGACATTATCATCACAATCATGATTAATCTCTTTTCTTTCCTTTGTTTTACAAATGTTTAGGGCTGGCGAACAGCCTGAAGTCCATTTTTATGCCTGCTGGTGCACTGAAACACGCAGTAGCCGGGCACAAAAAGAGAAGCCACATGACGCGTGGACCATCAAGAGTTGCAGTGCGAGTGTGCACCAAAAGTCCCGTGATACTCAAAAACGCCGCAATAGCTAGACGGCTCTGTACTAACTCCTTTAAGTAAAAAAAAAAAGTGTTAGTTTGCGTGTGCTTCCTGGGCGACAGAGCGAGAGAATCATTGCTCCGAAAAGCACCTGGGCGAGAAGCAAGGGAGGAGGGTGTGCAAGGGTCTCCGCCGTGGCGACCTGGTTAATAGAAAGGCGATACTTTTCGAATCAGGGGAACTTATTCTGGCTAGCAGTTGTGGCAACATCTAGACTGCCCCAAGAACTTCTCATACGTGTCTTACACAATATTGATAAGGAATATCGATAGGCATGCACAGGTAGGGCTTCCCCCCTGTTTCCTCTATGTGCATGCTGACAAGCTCCGCTCCTTATGCAACAGGCACGAGGTGAAAGAACTCGGCGACCACACGATGTGCTTCGACAACAGTATGTCGACCGTGTCCAGCAAGACGGTCTACTTTGAGGTCTACGTGGACAAGACGGGAGGAGGAAGTCAGGAGGAGGATGAGTGGGACGGTGGCGATATTCCCTACTCACCTGAGCTTGTCTACAACGACACCTACAAGGATATCAAGGTAAGAATAAGGGATAAAGGCGCCACAGCTGAGGCTGCACGCGAGTCGCGTTTCATTCCATGACAAAGTTGAGAAGACGATTGGGCAAGGAAACTGCCAATTTCATCTCGAAGGGAACCCGGCCGTTCTACACTAGAGTGCATTGTCAAAGTAGACGCGTGAGAGCAGAAGCATGCTTCTCCACTAAATCTCAATTGCAATAGAAAGGAATGCATGCACACAGGCTACTTAAGTGTCTATGACGCCTAGTTCACCAGCTGTGCTCAGTTGATGCTTGCAGTGTGCTGCTCAAACACAGAGAAGGACACGCAAAAAAAAATGTGTATCTGTGTGTTCCTTTCATGCATCCTTATTTGTCTTTGAGCAGTGCATTGCAGTTGTCAAAGATTGCCTGTTTGATAACAATACTTGCTAACTCTCACCAAGCAGTACAAGTAGGATGATGTCACATGATGCATTGCTGAAGTGCACTGGCAGTTGCACAATGTGACATTTTCGTTTAATGTTCCTGCACGAAATTAATGAGACTTCATCACTTTGTGGAAACGAGCATGCCCTTCTTCAAGTCCTAAAGCGGCTACATACATACTCCTTGCCTAAAGAACTTGCGTTCCTGCTTTGGGTTTTATGGTGTCTTTGTTTCGGTTTAAGAGTGATGGTCTTTGACAACGTAAGAAGTGTCAGCTCTACCCACAGCCATAGCTGTCTCTCCCAACGAGAATTTGCATAAATGCTCCATGAATTCGCGCTTACTCATTTTCGTGACATCAAGCACTTTCCGAGCGTTTGAAATAGCCGAGTTTCTCATAAAAGATATACATTAGTGTCGTTGGTTTTCGGATGGAAACCTTGACATCCTGGTAACTATCATCAGAGATTCCGACATTGCTGCTTAGGCAACCATAACGTTTTGTGCAGTAACAACAACCCTTCAACCTCCAGTATGCCTCATATTTGAATTAGCCTAGAAAAAGCACTAACGGTTCGAGTGGAAACCAGCTGGCACGACCGCCTTTCTCGGGCAAAAAGCACGCACACCAGAGTTCTGTGGGCAGAGCTTATTTTTTTTTCTTAGGTTGTAACCAAGCGTAGCCTACTTTTGTTACAGCTTCCGCATAATTTTTTTTCCTTGTTTTTGTTTCAAACACGTGCAGGCGACCATCAAGAAGGTGCACGAGAACTTGAACCAGGTGACGCACTACCAGGACACCAAGCGCGCGCACTGAGGCGCGTGACCGCAACGTGCAGGAGCACAACTTCACCCGCGTCAACCAGTTCTCCATGCTCGTCATCGTCGTCATGCTAGTGGTGGGTGCCGTGCAGGTCATCATGGTTCGGAGCCTCTTCGAGGAGCGCAGCCGTCTGCGCAAGATCTTCCAGTACCTCTCCTGACAACGGGACCATCGCGGTTGTCCTCGTGCCTTTGTTTCTTTCTCAACCTTGTCTCTTTCTCCCCGAGAAACTGAGTCTGTGACCTCGAAACGGTCTTCTTTTTAACCGAGAGTGCCGGTGTAGCGTGCTGTCAATTTTTTTTTCCTTTTAAGCTTGAGCTCTTAAATGTGTTCGCTCGCTTGCCACCAAGATAGGAAAGCCCACCGCACTCACTCATATTTGTTTTTGCTCACGCTGGTGCGTGCTTTCGTCTCGTTGTATTTGCCGGTGCGTCTATTGGGATGCTTTTCTTCTCGGCACTCAAAACGAAGAAAGACAGTAGTCTCTCAATTTAGGCCTACTTTTCTAGCTAGTGTTTCGACTCCTCCTGCATCCCTTCAACGAAGAAAAAAATTTATCTAGCTATAGGCCATTTCTTTCTCTCTCTCTTTCTCTTTGTTTTCTAAACTGTGAAAAAGGTGTTTCGGAGAAAGTCTGGTCAAGAGAGGCATTTTTTTACTTGTTGATATTTTGATGCCACTTAACCGCTGCTAGTCGATACATGCAGCAAGGCCTTTGCGTTTGCTACGTTAATACTTCATTTTCATACTCTCCTGTCTTTCCCTTGTTATTCTTTTTTTAGACTTATACCAAAAAGAAATGTTTTCCAAGCCTGTACAATAGCTTTCGCATACTCTGTTGCCCGAAGTTTTATGCTGCACTGGTAGCATATTATGTTTATTACGTCTGCCCTGTACTGCAGTCTTACGCTCTCGAGTGTACCCCGGTTAGGCAGTTTATATACGAAGAATAGATTCTTAGGCGATCAAGTAATTCATTATAAAGTGCTTAACGAGAAACAAGAGCCTAGAAGGTGACGGTACGACCTCTGATATTGTCGAATTCTTGTCTACTGTTCCTCAGTTTTAGCGTTTTATTTTGTCACATGTGTGCGTTCATACACACTCATACAATGGTGTAAGCAAAGGCAAGTAGCCCAGGCGTGGTTAGCACCATTTCCTATGCAGGAGTGTGGCTATGGAGAATCACCGATATGCAAGAGTCACGCTGTGTACACTTTCATAGGCATCGTGCAACTACAATACTTTCTAAATGTGTGCAACGCAAATTACTGGCTCGGAAAATACTTGCATATGCTACCACCAACCGTGTCGTAGTTGGACTTCTTGACTCTGGTAGCATTTTGTTTCAGGCATCCGAGCGTATGTTATAAAGAAAAAAAAAAGAAATGCCGGCCCTCCCACATTTTAGTAGAAATAGAGTGCGGTAACCGATGGGCCAAATGCACATTATGACGGCATCACTCGGGAAAATGAGTCTATGTTGCATTCATCGAAATGCGCCGGCATCAACTGGGCTTTTTTGTCGAAGCGAGAACGGATGAGTGGTTTAAGCCTAGGTGTGAATCGGAAAGGCAGGGTTATGTTAGTATTTTCTGTCTTCAAGCCTTTTACTATTTTTCTTTTGTTATGTGTTAGCTTTTCAATCATTATGTTGTGATTGCCTTGAGTGTCTGTTTGTGAAGCAGCAGTTTCCTACATTCCTTTTATTTGTGGCCAGCCAGGATATTGGTAGGCAGTATGCCATTTTTTAACCTTTTCTCTTCTCTTCAATTTCGTCCAAACGCTGGTCAATGTGGGCATTGTACTTTTGAAAGCTTCTCGTCTTGCCATTTTCCTTTAAATGAATTTTCCTAACCACGATTAGGCAGAGCCAGAGCACAATGTTTTCCCAGTAAGCTTGAGTCGTAATTCTGCATTGCTTATTAGAAAGTCTCAGCTCTCAATGCGAGTGTATTAGTATTAGCGATTGACATCAGTAGAAGTTGGCAACGTCAGCGTCCGTGGCAACACCCTGTGATAAAGTGCTGAAGAAAAACGCACAGCAAGTACTCAAGTTTCCCTACAGTTCTTAAAGTTAAAAACCTAAACTGCACTTTTACAAAAACCACTGCGAGAACAGCGGCAGGTCAACATAGAATGCGGCTCTGCATTGCGAAAAGAAAGTGGTTGGATGCTACTCGAGTGACAAGAGTGTCACGCGAAAGTGTTGCTAACACTGGCACATTGGTCTAGCCTTTGCAATAAAGAGAGATTTAGCACAGTGAAGGTTATAGTAGCTATAGAACGTACTTTTTAAACTACAATGTAATACATGACAAATTGCATTTACTTTGCATAGCTCCTGTTTCTGCAATGACTTAAAGATGAAATGAAAACAAGTGCTTTATAAATGTTGCCACTTGTTTGTACAGTGCAGTGCAGTTGCCCTTTACAACATCTCCTAATGCGTGCTTTTGTTTAAACGGATATCACAACATGCCACCACCAGCACTGCCATTCAGATCTACGCTTTTGTGTGCTTTGTACATGCTTCCACTAATGTATATCTGTTATCCTAAAGTTATGCTCCACATAGCTATGTCTAAAGCTCTTCAGCTGTGCCATAGCAGTGCAAATGTACTGCGCGCATGTCAGCATTTCGAGACTGCAACTTCAGTGGCATTAGTAACTAGCGCACACCCACTCTAGTTACCACTGGTCGAAGTTCACGTACGAACACACGTGCAAAAAGAGGCAGCTGGTAAGGCCAGTGATTTTGTGGCTGTACGCGCGATGTATATAGGCCTTATTTTTTGTTCAGCTGGTAGCTTACATTCGCAGTCATATCCGTACCTACAGTTTGAATCTGTGTGGCACTTATGCACGTTTACAGTGTATTGTCAAATTTTTTGCCATGTATATTTCCTGTAAACAGAGCATTTCATACGATTGTTCCAGTTGCATGAATTTAGTAAAAATGTGCATCAAATGAATAGCATTTGTGCGAGGGTAGCTTCCGAGGGTGTCAAAATGTCAAATCCCGAGAAACCAGTGGCTTTTCGTCTTTGGAAGCTTTAGCTCTTGCATTTGGCAAGTCAAAGCTATGCGATTTTGTGCATTTTTATTATACATTGTTACGTAATGATAGGAAAAGCTGTGAGACGCAGCCTAAATCAGCCGTGGGCTCTGTGTATTGGCATTAATTCGAAGTTTGAAATTGTGAGTAGATGGAATGTTACACATCTTATGAAGTGTAGTCACACCGTTTTCTGTGTCCGTAAAAGATTGAAGAAACTTGAGTGCAGCCACTATATTTTGTGTTGTAGCTCAGCATTGTTGGTTTAATTCAGGCTTCTTGGAAATCGGGCAAGCTGTGCTAATGAACCTTTGTGATTACACTGCACTCAATGTAAAAAATGGTTTTGAAAGGAGCGAGCATTTTCTAAAGAAGCACTCCAGGCAAAGGTGGATGGTCTGCTCACAATGGCAACACAGAAACTGTTTGAGAGCATCCTGTTGCCTTTGGTTTTGCTGGATCGTACTTTGGAAGCCGCTCAACAGAGTACTCCAATGGTACACTAGCAGTGCAAGCCGGTAGTACTACTGCTAAATACAGCACAGTACAATTCTCACTTTATACAGTAGTATTGATTGAATTCACTCAAAATTACCCAGTACACGGCGACATGTGAACTGGATTTTCTAAATGTGATGACGGTTTTAAATGCTTCTTTTTTTTTTTTTTTTTGCACCATGCAAGAACTCTACACTTTTAAAAGCATCGTTTTACCACGCAAAGGTGCGCCTCTGTGCGCCATTCTATTACTTTACCGGGACACCAAGTTCTAGTAGAGTCATGGAATAGCAGTGTTTCAAAGGTTCCACAAGCAGGGCATTAATTAAGAGCGTCAACATGCGGCAAAATCAAACCATAGATAGTGTCAAAGGTAAGGCAGCTGTAGACTGCTCAGCTGGCATGGACACTATGAATGTGTAAACACTTTTGGCTGAAGGAGGCAACATAAATGACGGTGCGTTACCTTTCATAGTAAATATTACTTTTCAAAGTGTTACATACAAAAATGAATTTTGAAAGCTTTGCTTTTCCCCAAAGAAAAGCTTTTTACTGTTTTTGTTTTCCTTCCAACTGTTCAAGCAATGTTAAAATATCAAACTACACTCTAAAAGGAGTTTACACTGTTTGAGGTGCACTTTGTGCTCACACAGTGAGCGCCCCCTCTTGCTCGCATTTTTTTCGGAAACTCTGTGCTCGTTAGTGTCCTGTAAAGATTGCTCCATTTTGCTGATATACCATGCCACTAGTGACAAAGTTCTGGGTGTGGAACATTATTGAAAAGGAACTTGCCCGAGACATGTTTGGAGATGAGAACATTATAAAGATGCAAATGATTTTTTTACGTGTAAACGGAATACAAGCACGAGCAAGACTTGTTACATTTGCCAATCAAAGTTTCGAAAGGCAGAAGGACAACTAATTGGGGAGGGTTACTCCTAGTCATGTACTATAACGTTACCGACTGTGACAAGAGGCACGCTAGCACGTAATGTGCTTTTGTCTAATTATGTTCATGAAGAATCTTTTTTACTGTCCCAATCATCCCAAGGCAACCCTCCCAAGCATGGGCATTATTATTCATGTTAGATGTCCCAGCCACTTGTGGATATTAGACAAAGTGAGATGCAAAAACCAGAAAACAAACTAGAAAACACATTTTACTCAATACATACTTTCAGCAGTATGAGCGGTGGTTTAGGTTCGATGTTAGCATGCTCTGCTACACCACGATCAGGTGCAGATATTTGAAGTATTTAAGCATGAAGTGTTTTTGTTCTAGAATGTTATTACTCACAGTGAGCGACAGTCTATAATTACTCGCCACGTGTGATATGAAATGAGATACGCAAGCGTGTGCAGAAAAGCTTTGCTCATCACAGGTTTTTGAGACATTATGGTCTTTTGAATGAACATGTCTATGTTCCCTGTCAAATTGCAGGATAGGGAACATCATTTACGCATTTGATTCGTGTTACTCATTTGTTTGTTTTTTTTCATCTGGTTACGCAGTCTTTCCTTTTTCCTGCACATTGAGCGAGAATACAACAGGGATACGAATGTACCACTTTAAAATACAACTGCCTCAGCAGCAAATTTTATGCACCATTTTTTGTTTTTTGGGCTCGTCCTTGCGCTACCTTTTCATTTCGCATGTGTACATTCTGTCCGCATCTGAAGAATTGCACAAACTTTGTGTATTTTTTTCACATGGTTAAAAAGTGCAACTGCCTTCAGAATGTCTTGTGCATTTGGAATAGTTTTCATTTCATTTTTATTTTCTGTTTAGAAAAAAGCAATGTCACTGTATACAGGGGACTTTCTTTCGGCTTGTGTTGCTGTGCATATTTTTTTTGCTAGTTTAGTTGGTAGAAAAACCACACTGTTTTGCAGTGAATGCTCTGCTGTATAGAAACATTAGTCTTGAAAGCTTACTCAAAGATGCTCAGAGAGTCAGTTGCAATTTCAAATTTCTAGTAAACAAAGGTGTGAGCAATTTTCCCATAGCGTATTCCAGGCCAGAATAATGCAACAATTCCTTTCCTACTTTATTCCTTTTCATTCCTTTGCTGTGATGATTGGCCTGTAGTAAAGAATGACGAATTGAGCCTAAACAAAATGCTCACATTACTGATCCTGTTTTGTGTAACAGAATTTTAGCTGCATTAGCCTCAAGTGTTTGTACAAGAGATGTGCACATCGTTGCCAAACATCTGCTAACTCTTACAGATGCTCCGTTTGAACATTAAGACAAGCGAGGTTTTCATCTTTTGATGATTTAAGGCATTCTATAAATTCATTACTTTAGTCATCTTGCATGAGCAATTGTGGCAATTCGATGTATTCATGCGCTGCAAAAAGTGAAACATTTCACAAAAACTAAAACTAACGCCATGATTTTGATGGCAAAAGAAACTTGAAATAGGCCCCGACTTTCTGGTTATCCGGTACTGTGGAGAGACTGACATACCAAAGATGATTGGAAATGTGCGACGGGTTGTAGCAGTGCCCACGAAAGTATGTGCAGTGATAGCAGCGGCCATCATTTGTCGTTACAAAGTTCTTTGTTTTGTTGACATTGCAATAAACTCTGTGATTCGCACCACATTATCACTCATTTTTATTGTAAGGTTGCTTTTAGCTTTGCGTTCAATGTCATACAGCAAAACATAACAGCAGCTTGAAAGGGCAACTAAAAACAAGTTACAATAAAAACTTCAAATACACAATGTCCCCACAGAAAATGGGGGTTCTAAATCAATCAAAGAGAGGACTAAACATAATCTTGAGTCACTACATAAAATTTGCATACAGTTTCTCGGTGTCAAAATAAATCTTTAAAATGACTGCTTGAAACATGGCCGCACCAGCAATTGCCGATGTCGTTGGTCAAAAGATGCGCAATTAACAATCGCACTGTGTTTCCAGACAATTTAAAATTGGTACACTACCAACAATTCGTGGATTAGGTTACTAGTATAGAGAAGTCCTAAATCTTTCTTGGCCTCACAAAAGCTGTCAAAAAGTCAAGAATAAGATACAAAAAGGTGCAAATTTCACCACATGATATATATAGTTCATGCACAAGTCTTAGCGATGTCCACTCATATTAAAAAAAAAAACCCTCTGGCATTGACAAATCTACAGAATGCCTTTGGTGTTCTACCTAAAACACACACAAGAAAAGATGGAACGTACTATGTCCATCATCGTAAGCTGCTAAAATCTCTTACAAAAATGTTTCCTTTGTGAACCGGAAATCAATAGCATATGCAGTTTGCTTACAACAGAAACACCACCTAAAAATTGATAAAGTAGGGTAGTTAGCACAAATACTAGCACAATTCTAGCACAAATACTTCAACATTCCCATCCCTATGCAGAGTAGTAGTGCATCATACAAAGCAAGCATGCTAGCACTGCTGACTACAGTGTATTTCCCTCAAAGGGCCTAGAAATCACGGGTACAGAATCTTTTTTTTTTTTTTTTTGCAACAGTGGTGGCTTGAAGCCCAAATTCGCCAATAAATATCTATTTCTTCTACCCGATTAGTCTTATCAGGTGTAGTGAAGTTTCAGTGAGACTGATTCTGAATGCACTTGTGGAACTGAATCTTCATTTTCAAGATGTGTGCAGCATTCCTTTTTGCAATGTTATGAGGAGCTTGTATAAATGAAGGGGTGGCGATGCTGCTCAGCGCGGTACCCGGATGACCAGCTAGGGATGGTTACACTGGCCAAAGACACCGCCAAAGCTCAACGTCTACCCGTCGCCTGAGGATGGGGGGCTCCAGCAGGACTAGTCTCCTGGCCCGTGGTTTACCAGGAGTTCCACAAATTATGTGCTATGAAGTATGCGTTCGACTTTCTTTGGTTCTTTGAATTTCAAGGCTCATCACAATGACTGCACAAAGCACACTTCTGTTTGTGAGATTGCATGGCTACCGGGATAATTGATATAAGCTTAGGATAGAGCTCTGTACTATACTTAATGAAAATTAGGTGTTGCAACAAGTTAGACACGGGGGAATTTCATCTGAGCCGTGAGTATCTCAAACATTGGCTAAACATGTAGTTTGCTTCTAAATACCACCAATTGTCCCTTAATACAAACAACTTTATTGATTATGGTCTCCAAACTGTTCATCAAAACCAATTAAACATGTTACCTCTTGGCAGAAAATTACAGACATCATTCATTAGGCGAAAGAAAAGAATGATAACAGTCAACTGGCAATACTGTAAACGGGCTTTAGGTTCGTTCTACTGGCCCGCAGCAAGAATCTGTGCAGTTGCCCCTATCCTTTCACAAAACATGCAAGTGAGTAGGTACTTATCTGAATTTTTTTGAAATGTGAAATGGCAACTGTCACAGAAACATAGACATTTACCCTTTGAGCACAATTAACGCAAAGCATTTCCCCCATGCACTATTATCACAACTTTAGCAATCTTCAACATCGTGAAATATGCAATTACCAAAGACGCACTTCCTGTTGAATAGCATCGCAGTAGTATCAATCTTTCATGTTAGACAGTAAAGATGACAACCCTTCAAAACAATACATACCACTATCTCAGCAATCCTCATCATCAGATATGACAATGACTGATGTTTGCCTACTCTTCTCTAACAGTTCCAAGGACTCGCCCTTGGTGTCAAAAAGTGGTGCCGAGTAATCGTAGCTTTTTTCAGACTCCATAGATTTGGATCCTGGGGACACGAGTGATGCCAGCACATCATCTGACAGCCTTTCCATTTTAACCTCCATTTTTTTCGAGCACTCCTTCAGGACAGGCGTAGATGTCATTGTGTCATTGAAGCAAAGCCGGCGCCTCCCAGACTTTCGACGATCGCGCAGACCTTCGGGTTCCATAGAACCTGACGCCATTACCCCGTCGGTGTCTCCGCCTTCGAGTCGATCTACAGTGGTTTCAGAAGGTGACGTGATGCTCCTTCGTGACGATAGGCTCCTCCGTTTTGGCGGCGTGCAGCCAATGTTGTCTTCCGCATCAACTTGGTCATCGTTGCTGAGGTGCATGGATGTCATGAACTCTGCTTTCAACGAATCCGAGATGGAAAGATTGAAACTTGCCGGCCAAGGCTTCCTGGTGTCGCTATTTGGGCAATCGTTGGTACTGCAAGTATCTTCCTTTGTAGTGCTTACTGTGGTACTGCAAGTATCTTCCTTTGTAGTGCTTACTGTACTCACAGCCACTCCACTGTTACCTGACGAAACGTTACTTTCTGTTGGTTTTGACAGGTCCGAAGAAGTAGAAGTGGTTCTGCTCGCCTCTTTGTCGGGCGGCAATGTAAGGTTCTCTGACACAGACATTTCAGGCAAACTTGATGATGAGGCTTCCCTGAACGCCGGTTTAGAGAAGCTTGGCGAGCTATCTGATGTCATAATAGCTGCCACATCACCTTTCGCGTGACGGAAGACTTCCTCCACCACAACCACAGAATCTCCTAAAATTGGAGTTGATTCAGGAGTGGCACCATCCACTCGCTCTAGCGACTCGATTGGCAATTTTGAAGGAACACCATCTGCTGAACTTGTCGCTTGCGAGACAGCTTGTTCTTTTGTTGCTCCCGTTAATCTTTGCAACAGTGGAATGTTGAAGTCATCCATCGAGGAGTCGACCGACACATCTAAGGGCTTGGCAGAAAACTTTGGTGACTGCTCGAAGTAATGGTCAACGGTCTCAGTGGCCTTGGGCGGTGACGACTTTGGCTTCCGCACTCGCGTTACGATCGCCCGAGTCTTGTTGGCTGGCGCAGACTTAGTCTTTTTCGGGGTAACGCTTGCGACACTTTTTCCCAGCTTCTTATTACCTGTGCCCTCGTTTTTGTCTTTGATGACTTGCTGCGACTTTCCGGTGGTGATGGCGAAGTATCCTCGTATGTCGTTGTTAGTCTCTGTTGAAAGGAATGGATTATTGCAACTTTACTTTTTATGCAACCCACATAGATCTTTTCACTATCACATTGAAGTGCTATGTCACAGTTATTTCTGACAAATCTAAAGAAATACTATGCACCAACCAACCCAACATGACGTACTGCGTATTCCACTTGTTCTACAGTTTCGTTTTACGATCAGTATTATGCTCTGCATTAGTGGTTTTGATACCTCCTGCTTCTTGCCATACTAGGTTCATTAGGCAGCATTCATTTTCTGTTCCTCCTTTTTCATTCTCGTTTCTTGCTAATGAAGTACTACTAGCTGTGCTTCGACTAGCCCAACATAGCGAATAGTCGAGAACTCAAGATATGCAGGTTCAAATCGCCAAGAAAGAGTTGTTTTTGACCTTCACTTCAGTCACCGTACTTGCCATAGATGCATTCACTGGAAGCCAGAGAGCGCAACAGGGGTGCAAACTACAGCCTTGCCAACATTTATTACTTTGCGAGCAAGACAGCTGAATGCTCGTACCTTGGAGTTGAAATGGTGACAAAGGTACTTGCAGCCACTGTCTATGCGTAAAACTGTGCTCGATACTGGCTTACGCAAGCTCTAGGCAGCACTAGCACCTGTTACGGTGTAGCTGTGGCAGTCAAACATGAAGCTAACTTGAAATAAAAGTCACAGTGAAAATCGTGCAGTTTGCAGAAGCAAGCTTCTTTAAAAAAAAATACTATCTAGTGACATACACCAGAGGCAGCAAGGGGTTTCGAGGTTCATCAGGCTATGGTACCCCACCTAATGCAAAAGCCCCGAGAAGTTGGTGCTTGTGAACAACTTTCTTCGCCTTACCTCCCAATGATAATATTTTTTTAAACATTAAACTAATTTGCTTTTTTTTTTCTCACACGATTATTTTCATCTTCCTAAAGCCTTGCCAAAGGCACAATGTCAGCCAATGCAACAATTTAATGTGCCAAACCATTTACCAATTAGATTGCACAAATTACTCGGGAAGGCATCTTCCAACACTCACCGTCAGTGACCACAATTTTCTTCTTGCTTTTCTGGCTCTGTTCATCGTGGAATGCCTTCACCAGTTCTGGATAGACGCTCTCAAACAGTTCCTCGGGCTCCAGAGTGTTTGGTGGCGACGACTCTGTCCACACTGGCAAATTCAGGGAGCACAAACCGGTCAACGAGGTGGTTGTCGCTTTCCTCCGGACATGGCTCGCAAGGAGAGGATTGGCCGAGTATAAATTGAATTTTCCCAATACTTTTTGCGTTGTGTCATTCCTGTAGGTGCGCTAGTTAATTCCACAGCAAAGCAATTATCACTTCTTCCTTTTCTCGAATTAAGCCAATTGAAAGCAGCCATTGAAGTGCCATGCCTGTCCACCTTATTTATTTATTTGGATACCCCAAGGGCCTGGAGGGCATTACATAGGGGGACGATTTATAAGGAATGAAATACAATTTCATTTCTGGAACACGGCAATCTGCATCTGTGCCCCTTAAATAGCCCCCGCAACACTTTTTCAAATAACGATGGCTTCATTAAGGAATTTATTGTGTCACGAATCGATCACCACAAACATTTTAAGGGCCCGTCAAGTACGTGTGGCATTTCAGAGATACACTGCACACTGCAATTGCTTTCTCTCTTCTCAAGTCCCTACGAGCGCGCTGAAAGCTAGGCAGGGAGAGATGACACAGAGGAAAGCAGCGTCACGTACACTTGATAACCTCGGCATTTTTTTCTCTTTGTTTACATGGCTTACTTTCAGTGTGATTGCAAGTGCTCATGCGGGCACATGGCAGACTCCAGCAGCAGCCACAGTAACTACGTTCAAACCTCACTACAACGAAGTTGCATTTTATACAAAAATAACTTCGTCATATCTAAAAATTTGTTATAAAGGTTTATTCATAACACAATATCTATTGCAAGACTATATTTCAATTACTGTGTTATAACCGATATTTCGTTATATCCGGGTTCGTTTTATTTAGATTTGAGTGTATGCTCAAGTTGAACAATGATCGTGAATTTGGGTACACTCAAACATTGATGTATAACATACCCAGATATAGTGAAATATTGGTTATAACAAAGTAAATAAAAAATATTCTAGCAGCAGATAGTGTTAGAGATATATTTTTATAAAGAATTTTCAGATATAATGAACTTAGTGGTGTAAGATGCAACTTTATTATTATGAGGTTTGAGTGTATATGGCATCATTTGTAGAAAAAAGGAAACCATTTCTAGAAGACTTTGAGAATTAATTGTAAATTTGAGGCTGCATGTTGGGCTATAATGTTTGGCTCGCATGTTTTAAGGAGTCTTGACTACCGGTTGGCAGCATTTTCTGACCACACTGAAAAAGTGTTTCAAGGCCCCTCTAATGTAAAAATAGTTTTTGAATGTTTGAATAAGTTGATTAAGTAATCGTGAAATAGAGGGGAAAAGGAAATCGGACGTAAAAAATTACTTGTCGCTAGTTTAAGTTACTTGTAACCCACAACTTCTGCATTACCGTAAGGGCTGCACTCGTGTAGGCACTACACTTTCAAGTTGACAGAATCCAATCTCGTAACAAAAACAAATTCCGTGCATTGCAGTGCCTACACAACACTCCCAACTCAATGTAACCGGGCACACAACCAAACAGCCAGACGTAACACCGAAAAATATATTGTTTACTCACATTCTGTGGCCAGCCACTCGACTTCGTAGAAGTCTGCATTCCTCTGCACTCGTTGCTTTACGATCCTGAACACATGAGGAGAAAACAAGTGCTCAGCTCTACAGCTATACTTAGTCCTTGTCCAACCTAATTAAGAAACACTCAAACCTCGACATAACGTACTTGCATATAACGCAATGTCTGTTATAATGAAGTAAATAAAAAATAGTCTTGGAATAGATATAGTGTAGGGAATATACTATTGTAACAAATTTTCATATATAACAAACTTATTTTCGTGGAAGATACAACTTTTTATAATAAGGTTTCAGTGTACTATAAATGGAAATGGGCAAGTGGATAAGTTCAACAGAAATTCGCAGGAAAAAAAATCCCAATTTTTTTTCTTCCGGAGTTCGGAATTGTTCCGAGACTATGTAGCCTATTCTACATGTGCAATGCTAGTATCCATTATGCATGGAAGCATACGAAATTGTGCTCGCATATAGCTTAGCTCTGCACCAGCAATGACTTTTTTTTGTCCTATTCAACTTTCTTTTAATCTCAATTAATACACTTCAATTAGGTTCAAAGCAAAAATAATGCCGTTACACCTTTCATGGCTTCACACACACATTTTTCCTGCTACAATTAAAGCTCACTACAGTCGAACGCCTTCATAAAGGCACTTATATGCAAGACAATTGGGTGTAAGAGACACCAGTGTCTTCACATTGAAATAAGGGTAGGAAAAAACTCCATATGTTGTACCCTGCTTATAGGAGAACCCCCTTGTAAAAGACAAATCCTTGTAAATGTCTCTTTACTGACAATGACTTTGTAAAAGACAAAGTCCTTATAAATGTCTCTTATCAAGGGGGTTCAAATGTATAATGAAGTAGCATTAGGAGCATAAATTGGTTTATTATATGTGATATCAATTGTAAAAGTATAGATAAGAACTTGCTCTGCCAAAATGTATATATGGCTTTTGTAAAAATTCTAGATACCACGACGCCTTATTCTAGGCTTCAACCATAGTATAAATGAGGTGATCTGCACGCACGTCCTAACAACATTCCAAACTTTGATTGGATAGCACTTTTTTTCTGTGCTGGCTGACCAAAATTTTCACATTTCTGAACAATTACGAAATAAGTGGTGGTCATTGTCTATCAATATTTATTTTTCTTTTCATGCTACCTTCAAGTTCGAGAGAAATATGTTTCTTCGTTACAGCCAACATTGTGGCCTCTCCCATGTTTTCGGTTTTATTAAACAAAGAATGCCATCAAACACAAGCATGAATAAATGAATTTTGTACTTGGTTCACTATAACTGATAATTCATCAGATCAGTGTTTGTTACAACAAGGTCCCACAGTATGAAGCACGTTACTTGACGGGTTTCAACGAGGTGACCTCCTTGCAGCTGCTTCCACCTTGCTCCAGATGGCAGCGGGTCAACAGAGGGAACAGCTTTTCACGGCTTTTTTCGAGCTCCCAGCCCATCTTGGTGGACATGAAATTCTTCAGAAGAAAGACAGTCATTTAGTTACACTAGCGACCACACTGTGTTATGGCAATGCCACTACACCGTACCTCGAGCATATGCAAGGACTATATTTAGTTCTTTCAAATTAACTAGGCTAGTGCGAATGTTCGAGCACTTTAAATATTCGAACAAATATTACAGTATTTGAATTCACATCAATTCAAATTTAAATGATCGGAAATTTTGAATAGTCCAAATGAATGAACAGGTGTACGTTAATCTGCGAGTAACTCTTTGTAAAAGTGGTTTCATTGCTATCGAAGGGTGCAATAACATGAATACACCTGTTCAGAAAAAATATTCACTGCTGCACCACTGAAATTGGACTGTTGCAGGCAACACATTAATGTTTGTTTAGCACAAACCTGAGACATTATTCCTGTGATGCAAACATACATCGAAGAAATTTTTTTTGTAAGACAAACTTCCAATTACGAGAAGTGTAATGATACTTCGTTACAATCTATGAAAAAGAACCTGTCTAATAAAAGGTTCACTACCTAGTGGCTCAAACACTCACTATATACAGTGGTTACTAAGCCTTCCAGGCAAATAGGCAACTAGACAGTACTAGCACACACTAGTGAACAACAATCACCTCAAATTTTTTTGCAGATGGAAATTGCCAGTTGCTGTCAACGCACTGGATGTTGTCCCGCTCGGTCAGGAACTCTGATATTACCTGCATGTGTGTGTGTTGGAAACTTGTTGAGCATAAACAGATGCAATGTCAAACATGCAAGCGATTAGGTGCTTGCTCAAGCAGCTGTATTGCACAGATCTGTCATGTTAATCGAGCAAATATACAAAGGACTGCAGGCGAGTCAAATTGTCCGGGGGACAGCTTTTTTTTCTGCGATCCCCCCACATCTTTATCTCACAAAGATGTAAAAAAAAATTGAGCGCAAGTGATCCGAAAAACGACACAAGGTACTGACGAGAGTATACGCTTGTACTCGTATGCTCCTCGTGGTTCTGATCCAGATTATTTGTACTTCCAAGAAGTTCACACCAAGAAGCACCCAGAGGCCACCATGCCCTCATCAGACCCCACTGTCAGCTAGCTGTAATCTCTGATGCTTGCTCTACACCTGACATGGTGAGCATCATATGGCTGTCGTCACTACTTCACGATCTGAATGTACTACTGCTTCGATACTGGGCATTACGAAAGTTAGAAAGTCTGCTTAACGTAATTCGACTCATAAAGATAGAAATCAATGAGTTGTGGGAACCAACTACTCAGGGTGTTTAAGGCTCACAATGGTCCCAGCCTGTCCCAACTCAGGGTTCCGTGAAGGACATCTGAATCCAGAGGTTCCGTGAAAGACACCTGATGGTTCCGCGAGCCGCCAGAATAAATGGAACCCCCCTTCCCCCCTGGTGCCTCATTTATTTTTTTAGACGAGAAACTTGCATCACATTCTGCATTTAAAGAAGTCCTCACATGTCGCATCTGCACATCAGGTGTCTGCCGGTAGCGAGAGACTCGCGTGTTAGCGGCACTAAGTATTCGTCGTCTGGTGCATGCCATGAAGCTCTCGTGATTTGTGTACCCGTGGTGCCAGAAAGCACGAGATGCTGACGATTTGTGCTCTTGAGCGCAGTTTGTAACACATGCATGGGAAACGTTCTGCGATTCTAGATATGAAAAATGATATTGGGTGTTTAAAATAGTTCAAACAACATTAACCAGTGTCACGGCACCTTATTCATGACACAGCTTTCATGCACGCTGATTTTCCACAGTACCATGTTGACTTTGTAATCAAAACACGCAACAAGCACTTTTATACATGCAAAAGGCATTGCTTTGTGCCAGCTGTGGGCTCAGTGAGCATCTAGACTTAGCTTTAAGACCAATGCATCGGCCAACAGCTATTTCACAGTGTGGTTACCATGCCTCATTTTTTGATATGCAAATATAGTACAGGCCTCTGTACATCTGGTGTTTTGTTTACGTAAACACTTTGCTTACAGCACACAGTGTCTGAAGAGTGCGATGTATGTTTGGCGGGTACTTTATGCGGCTTATAGAGAGTTTCCGATCTTGGCGAACCCTAATGGCTTGTCCAGAGTGCCGTGGAACCCCAATCTTTTTTCTTTAGCGCAAAAACATCTTAAAGTAAGGGGGAAATGGCATGTCTATGTATTATTGAGAGTTCAACATTAATGGTGATCGCCTTCGGTATTCCATTTCGGGAGGCTTTAATGCAGTAGAACACCTTTATGAAAGAGACGCACTGGGGAGCAATTCTTGTCTTTTATACGAGCTTTCTCTTATAAGCGGAGCACAACGTATGCATTTTGTTATCAACACTCGCTGCATGTAAACACACTCGTGTTCCTCATACCCCTTGGTCTTTTACGTCACTGCCTCTTATAAAGGGGTTCAACCAACTGAGGTGGGGAGCATTGAGAGGTGTTATTGCGTAGCAACCTCCCCGCCCCATCTCCCTGCCTGACGTTTTCACAATTGTCTTTGGGTAAAAGAACAAGTTTGGGGTGTTATGGCCCTCTGGAAAAGTCACTGGAGTTCACCAAGGCCAGAACAAGCCTAGAAAGTTTGTCAACCCCTACATTAAATACAACATACCCTTTAGTGACCAGATTCACAGCAACATGATGCAGCGATCACAAAAAACTCCACATGCCCATCGTTACATTACAATTTTTAGCCTCATTTTAGTCTGTGAACAGTGTGCTTGAGGGATGGCTGTTAAAAGGGGGCTAAAAACATTCATTGAAAAGTGCGTTATAAAATATACCATATTTACACCATTCCAATGCACATTTTTTCCCTCGTAAGTGTAGCCCTAATATTTGTGGCGTTACAATAGCTGCAAATGCGACAACTGTTACAAACTTGTCATTAAAGCTATTTTTTACATTTTTTTAAATGTAAAACTACCAGCACGTTACAATTAAGGCAGCACTATAATCATGCAGGTACGGTATGTAGTAAATGTGTGGCAATGACTAGTGAGGCTTGCCATAGAAAATAAAGGTAGATCGTCAAAGGATGCCGTAGCAGAATAAGATGTGTCCGAGAAAGAAGATCACAAGTACTACTGTCCTAACAGAGTACTTGTACGCAAGGACCCTAAGGGAGTGGTACCGCTTATTAAAACTTGTTGGGCTAGTTGGTGACTCGTCATATTGTAAGTAAACCTTGTAATAACGAAGTTGCAACAAGGAAATAAGTTCGCTATATCTGAAGATTTGCTATAAAAGTATATTCCTAACACTATAACTATTGCAAGGGTATTTTACATTTACTTCGTTATATCAGGGTTCATTATGTCGAAGTTTGAGTGTACTTAGCGCAACTTGGTAATCCCTTTAAACACTCTCACGTTCACACACACGCTTCTACTCAAGAAACACACACCGCACGCAGCGCTTGCACACAAGCACTGTGTCGTGTGTGTTTTTTGAGTGGAAGGGTGTGTGACTGTAAGAGTGATTTGATTACAATATGTAGAGATTGTGGCAGTTAGAATCAGCACCTACTGGAATGGCAAAAAAAAAAAAAGAAGAGTCGTCACGTGGAAACTCACGTTTTCCGGAGGAAACGTGCCGTACTCGTCCAGCGCCTTTTTTCGTACGTCAAGCTCCATCTTCCATTGGCTTTTCACAGCTTCTGCATTGTGCCATTTGCACACGCAGTTGCAGACCACAGACTTTGTGCAGAACACTTCGGTGGAGCACATTTCACACCCATCGACACGATGCGTCTTCTGCGTACCTGGTACAAGCAAAATTGCAGTCTGAATCAAGTGAACCAGCAGGCCTGATGTTTCGTCACGTCACGTGGTTTTCTGTTATGCGACTGTCTCCCTCAAAACAGGCGTCAACTTCTCTGAAATGAGGATGTGTCCGTAACGCATTATTGCAGACTTGTCTCTCAGAACCACTGTCTTCACATTTAGATGTAGTAATGTTACTCACATGTGCTTCTCAACTTTAGAGAATGTTGCGAGCTTTATTTACTTCCCCCAATTTATTAGTATGAAAGGTGAAAAAACATTCGAACTTTTGAAAAATTCTTGAACGGCATTTGCCATTGAATTTGATTTGAACAGTTTTACCATTCAAAGTATTCATACTTCCAAAAAAATAATAGATTTAAATAGCAAATATACATAATGACAATAAATCGGCGTTTAGCGTGCTTGGTGGTCTCGCGTTACTGGGCATCCACAAAACCTGAAAGAAATGTCCCTCTCAAAAAATCACAGAATAATGCTGTCACTATGCCATAGTGTACATGATTTTCCATATCTCTGGCAGTAAGAAGCGACGAAACACATTTTGGGTAAATGTACTATAAGATATTAGACTCGATATTCAGTACTTTCGGTCAATATTCGATCCCAATTTGATTCGACATAAAATTTCACTATTCGCATGCCCATATTTCTGAGCGGTCGTTGAACCGTGAATACATAACAAGTGTGAATTTAACACTAAGTCGTGATTTTCTACAGCCATGACCTCGTGTCGAGAGAGGATCAGACCAATGGCAAGGTGTGCTGGAGTAACATGGCAGGTGCAGTGAACTGGAGGCCTCGAAAAGAACTTAAAAGGTGTACTTCTTTGTACGCTTTTTCTGAATACAGTACCTAGCTGAAGTGGGACAATTAAAGACCGATAAATGCTCTTTCCAACGAGCTGAAATTGGCAGTGCCAAGTTATGGCGTTGTGGAGCTATAATTTTAATAGTATAGCTTACAATATGCTTAGAGATCTTCTCAAACTTTTGTTTTGTAAGCTTGCTTCGAAAAATTCCGAAAATATTTGACAAACATTTGAAAATGATTTGATTCGATTTGCACTCAAACTTTGTTAATCTAATTTGCTTTGCACACAAAATAGTGCTGTTTGCACAGCTCCAATTTATACATTATAGAAACTGATTGATGGACTGATTGATTAAATGATTGATTGAGTGTACCAGGGAAGTTGTTTTGATCCTTTGCAGTCCATTGTCAGGCTCCGCAATGCAACATGGCTGTGGCAGTCCATGTTCGGGCACTGATGGACACATTCTCTCGCAGCCGACTCATGTGTGTGTTTTCTCACTAATTATGCATCATCAGTAAAAGAGCAAGCAAATTTCTATTACTCGAGCCCTGAGTTTTTTAGTTTCGAACCAAAAGGAACGGAAAGTGGGAAGAGTTGTCGTACTGCAAAGGGGCAAATGAATAACGGTAACTTACCAAGGTGCTGGCAATTTCCACAGTGTGACGGCTTCTTGCAGTTTGTGTCAAGAGTCTCCTGAAGCTTCGAATACTTTGAATCTCTCGTCCAATCTCGTAACCTGCATTAAAGGCCCCTCGCCCATCAGAGCTTGAGTGATGAGGCCGATTTTAACACGTGTCTGTCTACCAACTCCTTTTTTTGTCAGAAGCCACTGCGTCGCGTAGACTGTTAATTGCACCTTTCCACACCTGCCCAATAAAAATTTCATGCCAATTTTGTAGAATGTTTGCCCATTTTGCCGATTTTCAAAAGGCAGCATAGTAGAATTCAGTGGAGTTTCACTTTGTTCAGCTGCATCCTCTGGTGGCATGTAACGACATCCAAAAACCCAGACATCACCTTCACTAAGAATGGTCCAATAGGTAACGTTCTAGATGCTTAATCACATTGAGCCATGATAAGTGTAAAAGTAAATATTTTAATTATATGTACCTTTCAATTGAGTTCATAGGCAAGAGAAGTTTCAATTCAATATGCTTTTATTTGACTTATTGCTCTCTCTGAAAGTTTTCAAAAAATTTGCATTTGAATTGCATTAACTGTGCTAGGTGTGTTCATCTTTTGACACTATCAATATAACCTGTGTTTGTTGAAGTCGAGCCTAGGCAGACACGTTCAAGTCAAGTTTGACGGTGCACGTCCAATGTCAGTTTTATTATTGTCTGCATGGTCCTCCTCTAACAGAATGGGGTCTTGAACCGGATGAGTTCGGATTTTAAAAGTTCTCACCTTTCGAGGGAGCCGGCGTGTCCAAACTTGTTTAGCAACTTTAGCGCCGTTTCCTTGCCGACGCTCCGGACTCCAGAGAAGTAGTCGCACCCGGAAAGCACAGCCAGTGCCACGAGCTTTTCGCGATCTAGGCCCAGCTTGCTCTCAATGTCCGAGATTTTGTAGGAAAGAACGTGGGGATCCTAAGAGAAAGATTGTACAAGACAAGCAACGTGGTATTGGCCAACGAAATGTTACAGAGAATGTCGACAAGCAAAATCTATCTCACTCATAAAAAGCAACCCTTCCACGAATGCCGAAAGCACTGCTCTCACCATGAGAACATGCTCGCGGGAACCAAATAATGCACGAAAATGAAAAACCGATTACGACGATGCCTTACAGTTTATATATCAACTTGATGTAACTTCACAGATATTGACTGTTCCTGCTGGGGCCTACGTATTCCTTCAGTAGTAAAAATGAATTCCACTGTATTCCACTTTGCATTACAAGAGTCCGGAAATTTTCCTGATCAATCTGGCCAAAGCAAAAAAAAAAATTTAACAGAGGACTGAAATCTGTGGCTCCATTTATTTCACTGCCAGGATGATTCCACGCAGGATCAACCAATGCATGGCCAATTTACCTCTTGAATTTCTTTCAGAATTTCAAATATTTTTGCCTGATGCATAGTAAAAAGAGATGCACAAGTGTTTTTGCCGGAAAAAGTATTTTGGAAGCACAGTAGATCGATAATGACGAAGAGGTGGAGTGCCACGCTTATTTGCTGTGCTGTTGTTTTTTCCGACTTTGGCGATGAAATACAGAAAATATAATAAAGCTACATACGTCAAATTTGTTTCGCTAATTATATGCATATTTTGCTACGTTCAGTTATTTTCACTTCTCTGGGTAGTGCAAATATTTTTATTAAAAATCTCAAAATCAACCCAAAAAACGTTTCTTGCCTACTTTACAAGTCTTTATTTCAAAAAGGGGCTTACGACAGAGCGCTGAAAATTGTGCACTACTTTTTCAGCAAGCTTATTTATAAAACTGCCAAAGCTCATATTAATAACACTTTTGAATAAAAAGATACAATATGATTTTTAGGCACTTCATAGTGACGGACTGCAGAGAAATTTCAACCACTTGGGGGTTGCTCGATGAGCACGCCATTCTAAGTAGGTGGGCATTATTATGTTTTACTCTAGAAAAATGCGACTGCTGTGGCCGACAACCAAACCCATATTCTTGTGAATAGAATTACAACATGACCTCAGCCGCTAAGCCGCAATGACAAGCCACCAACAGCACTGCTTAACCAAAAAATGGATGATAAAAGCAAGTGATAGTGACTAGAGATGTTGCAATTTTTCACACCGCATTTCTTGTTTCCTTAGTTCCTCCACTCAGCTCCCCTCCAAGTGTTCAGTGTTAATCACTTGCACACAGGCATAGATGATATGATGCTCGACAGAATGCAGGAATAAGTAGAGATTGACAGAAGAGGGCTATGTCCTGTGGAGGACAAAGGGGAGACTGACAATGCACATCACTCACAAGTTAGGTCCGTTATTCTTTTGCTTCCAGGTTGTTTCATCTTTTTCCCACTATACTCTTGCGCTACAGTTATCAGTATTGTCTAGTGGCTCCTCCCTGTTCAGAGTTAAAATGCTTTCCACAGTGAGTTTCTCATGGAGCGGTGCTGCCCAATACATGTGAATAGCAAATCCTTCTCTGGCATGCCCTTTATCACGCATGCAACCCTTTCTGTTTTGTACATACCATCTCATCACACTTCCGTTTGCTTTGTGAAACGCTGTAGCCAGTTCAAGAGTACATTTTCAATCGGATATTAGTAGTACAATCGCCGCCTGTTGTATCTCGCAGTGCTGCACGGGATTATACCTTGTCTTCTATGCAGAGCTTCCGGTAGACTGTCTTGGCCCCGTAGAGAAATGCATCGCCGTCTTCTGTGATGCAGCCATCCACCATCTGCAAAGACGAAAAGCACGAGACTTGAACAAACGAGTTCACGTCAATCTGAGCCAAACAGCAAAGGTCGCAAGATCAAGAAAACTCGAAAAAATTAGAAAAAAAAAAGTGATGAGTTCGGAGTTCGCATTTGCTAACTTGCAATTTAAGTCATTGCCACTGTCCCCCTTGTACCCAGTTAGAAAGGATTGCAGCACCAAAACAATAATGCTAAATGTGAAATGAGCTTTGCCATTGCAAGAGCACTTCTGTTAATGTAAGAATGTTTGTGCAGTATTTCTTCATTTTATTTTGATGAACACTTTTGTTGACGATTACCTTTCAACTCACCAAGGTAATGGTTGCATCACATCAGACATAAAGTGATATAAAGTTGAATTACTTTAAGAAAGACAGCTGGGTGAGAGACACACTGGTGTACTTACATTGAAATAGGGTTTTACCATAAAGCCAGAATGTGGTACCTACTAATAAGAGGTGCCTCAGAGACAGGAGCTGTTTCCCGGCGTGTGTCTATTATAAAGCGCTCAACTGAACAGCAAATCAGATGAAGAGTACCAGAAGCAACTTTGTTGGTACACAAGTGAAAATACACCTGCCCAAGCAAACGTTCAAAAACCACTCTTGCGCATCCCCAAATGATGAAGCGCTCTTTGCCTAATCTCAGTAATCTCACAGACATAGCATGAAGCCAGAAAAATATCTTAAGGGAACACTGAAGGCAATTATTAAGTCGATGTTGATTGTTGAAATAGCGGTCCAGAAACTTTGCAGTGTTACTTTTGTGCCAAGGAAGGGCCTATTTTGTAATAAAATCACGTCTTAGTGGTCCGCATCGGGTTGGTGCACTTCAAATTACTCGCCCCAAGAAGCGGACCGACCGGACCGACTCGCGTCCCTGTTGCCGTGCACATTGTTGCCTGGCTTTACTGCGCTAGTAGCAGCAGACCGAAAGCAGTGGGAGCCACAGCAGCAACAACGGCCATTGATAAATTTACCACCATTGGCTCCGAGATCGCAGACGTATTTTGGTTCAACTGGGCCGTGCTAGATGGCACGACCTGTCTAGTTTGACCACACAAAAATTAAACTTTTGAACCACTCGTGCCATTCCCCGTTAGTAACGCCCGGCGGTTCTTTTTTCTATTAATCAAACAGAAACAATCAAGCAGCATTTTATTGCGTCTCTTGATGTACGGAAGGTTCTTAATTTAGTGGAGCTAGATCGATTAATAGTTATTAATTGTAGGCTGTTTGTCTGATGTTACCGAGATCATTTTGAGAATGTGCTACTGCAGCGCATGTGTTCTCTTGGATTTACATTAATTTCTCAGTAAGTAGGGCACTGCTGTTAATAGTACTGTCATTTTAGATGTTGTTATAAATTGAGCTTTCACTTTGACGTAAATTGTTATTTGACTTTAGTTTCCCTTTAAGTACCGGTATTACTGCGCTGAGACAAACAATGTGATGACGAGAAGTACAGGTGCCAAAGAAAATTTCAGCACTTAGCGTTACCATGACAAGGCTGGGAACTGGTTGACTGCGCATGCTGAAATTCCTGCCATTAGAAGAATAGGTTAGACTAGTACCATCATCCTGCAACCATTGGATAATGAATGTAAGATTCTTTCACAAACAATAAAGAACTTTGGTTTATGTGAACTGTGCTACAGAAAGCGGTGTGGCATGCCTGACATCAGAAATTTGGAGGCTACAATGTTGAATTGCATTGCCTTCTACATAGATTCCAGTGTCCTCCCAGAAATTTCATCCACCGTATGCCCGTCTGCCAATTTTACTGCACATTTCTTCTCAGACCCTATGAAAATGTGGTTCAAAACGAGTGTCCTTGGTAAATAGCCATCAATCTTCAGTTCAGGCACAAGCTCATCACTGCAATTTACTTTAGGAGCATTGCTCTGCATATGAAAACATGGACAAAAATGATACAAAAACGATAGCTTACCCCGTTCTTGTCGAGGAAGGCACAAGTACCCTCAGCTTCACCTGCGCTTTGTACACACGGGAGACCCAGGGCATCAAGCAGCTCTCTGCACTGCAATGACAACAAAGTAAATGTTAAGTCACTGCATGTTACTGACAGGTCAAAGAAAGGAAATTTAAATGTCTAAATTCTCTGAAAGCAATCAAGCAAGCACAAAGCCAAAGAAAGCATGACAGACATCAGTTGTAGTTCCTTTTTATTGAAGTATAGTTATGAGATTATGACAACTGAAAAGTGGCAGTGGCTGCTACCTTGTTCACACTGTCAGAGTACAATTTTATTAATTAATTGTTAATTAATTAGAAGTACCCTACAAGACCACATAGCATAGGGGGTTAACAAAATGTCACATAATTTATAGGTATCTCACAGTTATATAACAAAACTTAGTTAATAATTTATACAGTGATAAATAAGTGTGATGAAGTTCAAGCATGCAAGAGAATGACTACATAGCAGCAGGCAATAAATGGTCAGCTCTAATAAGACATACAATTATGTAAATCATAAAAAGTATGTCACACTTTTATACAAGCATATTATGTCAGTGCAATCCATGGAGTGCCAGCCAGCGCCACTTATGAATATGGCAGCAAATATGAAACATTCTTTTCTCCTTGTGATGTCGGATAGTGTGCAAACTTCTTGAGAAGAGAAGCAGTATGCTGCACAACCACTAGACTATCATTTTTATACCTAAGGCATCACACCTGATTGAGTCACGGCCCTCTTTTTGAGATAAACAAGAGGAAAAACTGGGTTGAGGTGCTTGTTTCTTTTTCAAGTACAGTATGCCCTAAAAAGGTGGATTTTATACCGGGGACCCAGCTAGACTTTAACGATGATCATTCCAGCTCAAAATTGTTTGAAAATAGTACTTTTTTCGTTTCCTTATTCGCTCCTAGTTGTCACAAGGAACACTGACCAACAACATCAGGTACAGTTGAACCGCTTTGTAATAGGCACTGACGTAAGGCTACAAAGGACACTAGTGTGCCTATATCGAAATAGAAGCTGATCAGGAAATGAGGAGATGGTACCCTCCTTATAAGAAACACCTCACAAGGGACAAGAACACCAGTGCATGTCTCTTATAATGATGATAATATTGTTGGTGTTTAACGTCCCACAACTAGCATATGATTATGAGAGATGCCGCAGTAGAGGGCTCCTAATATTTCAAACATCTGAGTTTCTTTAAAGTGCGCCTAAATCTAAGTGCACGGGTCTCAAGCATCTTTGCCTCTATCGAAAATGCGGCTGCCACGGCCGGGATGTCCCTTAGAAAGTGGTTCAACTTAAGAGACATGTTGGTAGCTGTAAAAAAAAGGAAAGAAGGCCACTTTGTACTACTTTCAGTCACAGCACAATTTTCATTCTGGTTCCAGCTTGGCCTACATCTTCGAGCTACTTGCCTGACTTGAAATGGCCTGGAGCCCTCCACGACGTCTCATGAGCAGCCCGCCACTGGAACCTTCAGCACCACGTGCCTGGTTCCTCTGCGACAGCGTTTCCTCCTTTACTTCTGGAGCTGTGCCCTCGAGCACAAAAACCAGCTTGATCCCATAGCCAAGCAGCTTGTTACAGCGGAAAAACAGGTTTCTTCATGTATAAAGAAAAACAGAAGCAGGCAACATTGTACACACTGGAGGTATAGTCAAGGTGAGCTTCCATAACAAAATCATGCATGATTGGCAGGGGCGTCGAGTCCTCTCAGTCAATATCTATTCCACAAGACCATCAAATCTTCTGGTATCTAATTAATAAGATTCAATTATAGCAAAGGCTGGGCAGAAGTTAGGAAAAAAAAAAAAACACCAGGCCTGAACAGAAGATGCAGTACATTCACAGCTTAAGATGTAAGAGCAGCTTTCAAAGCCAATAAAAATTCCTTTGGGGTGCCTTGTGCAAGTACATTTGTGGAGTACCCACGATTCCATAAAGCATAAAATTTTGTGATGTAGCAATGTGCCACCTACGCATTCATAAAGCAACGTGTGTAGTACCTACCCAGCTGCACACTTGGTTGATGCTGTGGCTGCTGTTGATAACGATGAATTATGCAGGCACTTTTTGTAATGAATGGGCAGCTTTGAACCACCCGTTCATTATAACAATTCACACGGTGTGATGCCAGATGCCACTGTATAAATTGGCACGCCATATTACTTTTTGCAGCGGGATTCCCCCCCCCCCCCCCCCCAACATAATGCCTGTACGGGGTCTTTTTCTAAGGAACTTTATGGTACAAATACGTGATTGCCAAGCATAATGCCCGAATTCGATTGCAGCTTGAACCCCGATCTTTTCTCTCGTGTTGCGCGATGGATAACAACAGTGGAAGACATTGCGATTCAAAGTGATTGTTGTTGCGAGCTTATAGCAGCTCACGCTGTAAAAAACGAACTGCTCCTTGGTAGCACATTCATTAAAAGCTAAGCCAGTTTCACACAAGTGGTGTCAAGCCTGAACGTAGTGGGGATGATGATGATGAGGCCTGTAACACGGCTCATACCCACTTATGGGGATTGGCCAAGCAGTGATTAAACGATGATGATCTATATGTATGGCTCACACCTACTCTGGAGGATCGGCTAAGACACAAAGAATAAGGCAGAAGTGAGTAGGACGACTTCCCCTTCAGTGTTCAATGTTTTTGTATTTGTCAGTTTTTTCGTCTTTTTCCCCCATTTATTTCTCCCCCTACCTCATTTTTTTTCGATTTTTCATACTGGTGATTATTTAATGTGTTCTATACTTAGTAACATTGTCAAGGCACTCTAAGAGCAAGAGGAAGAAGATATCCTTTTGGCTCAAGAGCATGCTCAATATGCTACAGATGACTTCTTCCATATGTGCTTCTGCCTGCATTAAGATCATCATCAAGGCTCCCGAAGAACCAGAGGAGGACTTTTCTTTGGTGCGAGTGTGTTACAGGATGGCTATGCTATAACCATGATGATGACATACAGCCTGCCCCCCCCCCCCCCCCCCAAAGTGCTCTGTACTCAATGTTTGACTATAAACAACATCTATTCACCTGCTTCTTGAATGAGTTTCATGTGTCTGGAATTTACGCAGTGTCACTATAAGTGACCGAGTTGCAGTGATACACAATTTCTGCTCCGGTTCTGCGTGACTTGGTTATCTCCACACATGTAACATATTCCTGGACGAAGTCAGAGCGTAGCCTTTTCTTACATGCCACATGCTAGCAGCTGTCTTGGCCTAGTTGGTTAAGAGAACTTGAAGGTGCCAGTTGTGATAAAATGCTTTGGTGAACAAAGCATTTCATAGCAAATGATACCTTTGAATGCTTTTAACAAGAAGTAAACTATACATCTCCTTCACTGGTAACTACATGCAGAAAGTGTGTATCCTGCAATAGAAAACTGTAGCATATAGTTTTTTTTGCAAAAAATAAAAAGTTGGATTGATTGGAACCAGCTCCCCTAAACAATGTAGCATTCAAAGACTGATCATATTTTCACATGACTGTACAATTTTTTTTTGTTACTGTGAGGTACTTGTGTTCTTTATTCACACTGTTTTTGCTTTGCTCAGTTCTTTTTTTTATAAGCCTTTGTATGTTTTCTCAGTTAATATCCAATTGTATTTCTGGCCGTATCGCTGCATTTTGCTGTGCTTGCTTACTTAAAAATTTTTGAAAAGTTGCCACCAGTGACACCAAGAAGAAATCAGGTTACCATGCTGTGACATCGAAAACGCCGAGCAATGAGGGGGTGGCAATATGTGCTGCCTCGCTAAAATACAGGACGCTGCCAAGCAATCACTCTATTGCTTCTTGCTAGTGACTAATTATACCCAACTGTCACTATTATCCTTTTGTTAATATGGAACAGCACTTTCAACAAAAAGCAATGCCTGAGTAACACCAGCCATTATGCCATGCTTTCATACTAAAGACAGGACATGCATATACGGACACAAGAAAAAAGTCAAGACACCACAGATGCAGACTAACATTTGCAAGAGCGCCCACTTATGGAAAAGAAAAAAGGAATGCAAACTTATCTGCGCATACCCACGCAACAGGCGAACCTATCAATATGGCATGCGTGCGGGTCTACGTGATATAACTGCTAGGCATTAGATTTCTTCCTTATGCAAGTTAATTGACTGTAGACCCGTATGCGCTGCCCATTTTATTGATACACCATGTCTTAATCATCAAACGCATTTGTTCATTCCTGTACCGGTGCAAGACCGCACATTCACCGCACTTCGGCATACACTTACCCTCTTTGCAATGTAAAGAAAGATTAGAAGGAGAGCCTCTGGCTAGTGATCTCTCATGTTCCAATAACGTTTGGTTAATGCAATGGACCATATGCCCTACGAAGAAGCAGCCACAGCTAAAAGGAATCTTATACACCACACCTGTACACCAATTGGTAAATTTGTTGGAGTGTTTTACTGAAGATATGTTGGTCTGCTTCTTGCCTGCTACTCGCAAATTCATTTTCGGCCGAGGGGCAGGAACCTTATCTAGCTTATTAGCAGCCATAAAAGCAACATTAACACCGCATCTACTTCCCACTTTCTTTGAACTGCAAGATACATAATTACTGTAAAGAAAGAATACCTATGGCACATAATCCTATCGTTTTCTGCAACCGCGCTTGGACCTAACAAAACCGACTTGTTTAAACGTTCAACCATAGTGGCATACTGCAAGGCAAGGATAGCCTACATATAAAAGTGCATAACTTGTGCACGAAAAGTGGCACTCATTTTGTGCTCACATGACCTGGTGAGGGAAGACTTAAGGCATGATATAGCTATACCATTTTTTTTTTTCAAACTTTACACTGCTTAAACAAAGTTTAATAGTGGTTTTAAGAATCTAGCTGAATACTGCCAGTATATGTGGTTTTTCTGAACTGTTAAGGAAATGTCTAGATATTGAATCCCATTTTTTATTTAGTCCATATGTGAATGCCCTGTCTTTTAGAATGCTTACAAATTGGCTCAGCTCTTTGTTATTCTCAGCTTCCACATATTCCTGACCTCGAATGTCAGTGTCTATTGAACAGTCACCACTTAATATACAAAGCTAGTGAATGCACAGTGGTATGATATTGTATATTTTGGTAAAAAAAGATACCATATCTTTCTTGATTATCAGATAGTGCCATTATCCATAGCTGTAATTTCAGTTCACAGCCATTGCCTTTACAGGAAACAAAATAGTAATTAAACAGGTAAGTAGTGAAAGAAGTCGAAGTAGGAATACAAAGCACATGGTCTCTTGAATGAAGATCTAAATGCAAAGCTACTTATTTGTCACTTTTATTTATTGTGTTCAGAAAGCACTGCAGAATATTTACAGCATTTAAAGTACTGCTTTGAAGATAGACTCAGAATGACTGAGTGACTAATTGCAATCAAATGAATAGAACGATAAATTCATGACACCAGTAATCAAATAAAAGGCAACATCAGCCTTCATTTACAATATACAGTACAACACGGGTAGGCAGGGTTCTGCACAATCATCTCATTACAAATACATTAAGTACAAATTGCAGTCAACGAAAAACACTTCATACACGATCAAGCGTATGCATAAACAGAGTCTCACTTTAGATTCTATTGACAACAGTGTACCCTAACGACTTCTGATGACTGAAATAGCCCACCGCACGTACATTGTCCATTTTTAACTGCACTCGTTAAACAGGCACGACAAAAATGATGACCACACGGCACACGGTGAGTGGATTGTGATGTCCTACATGCCCAGCACAGGTCACTGTCTATTTCTTTAACTTCGGGCTTTCTTTGAGCACTGTTTCTTATCATCTGCAGTGTTTCAGCCAAAGAACTAGACAGGCTGTCAGCAAGACGCTGCTCATGTGTTTTGAGATCACATCGCGGTCGCTTAGTCTCAAGATCTATCACTTCGGATTCAGTGTTTCTTTTCACACTTTCTCCGAACTTTTGCCTGGTACTGCTTGATGATGTGGCCCGCTCGAATGCAGTATGTCGCTTGGTCGACTGTGGTACAGGCATGGCTGTTGGCAACGTTGTGGGTGAAAGAGATGTCACTGAAATCGCACCTCTATGCATCCGAAGTCCCTGAAGCGCTCTCTGATCTACATTGTCCAGAAAAGAATGCCCAGAGACCAAGTTTGAATTGGAAGGAGTTGCTGAGTCAAATTTGCCTGCATGTCTAGTGATACCAGCTGTTGTTCCTTTAGAGTTAAACGTTTTGAACTGGTTCAGTCTATAACTGTTCTGTGACGAACTAGCTACGTCTCTTGTACTAGAAGATGCCGTAGAATCTTTCAAGGCCCGACACGATGATGAGCGTTCGTTGGTGGTAAAGGACAGCGAAATCAGACCGGAGGATGCCGCGCCTGCACAGCGACTTTTTCCCAGCGTCCTCGGAATGTTTCCCAGTTTCTCCAAGTTGCGAACCACGAAGTGGTCGATGCGGCTCTTGAGTTCAGGCAGGCTTTTGGGGCAATTGGCACCCGCGAGCGTTATTCCGGTGAAAGGATCAGTGGCAGGTCTACCCCACTTTTCCTCGGTCTCGACGTGCTTATCCAACGTCGACTGGTCCACTACTTGGCCACTCGGTAGCAGAACCGGCTGCGTCATCAGCTCGAAAGTCAAGGCGTCCTGAAAGTCTGTCGGTATGTGAAACTCAGGCGCGGAGCCTTCACCCTCTTGCACACCACCGCTCTTCCCTTGCAGCGACTTCGCCTGCTCAGGAACAGTAGGCGTAGGCGATGAGCGGCACTGGTCCGTGACCGAGCGCTCACGGTTGAAGTGGGATACGGTGTCCGTAGTGCTCAAAAACTTGCGAATCAGATCCTCTTGGGCAGCTAGGCTGCAGAGGGAAGTCATGGGTTGGCCCCAGACTTGCAAGGAGCCTAGACCGATCGAGGCGCTGCCCATGGCGCAGATAAGTTTCAACTTCAACCGGCAGACGTGCTTGCAGTAGGTAGTCCTAAGTGTTTCACCCGTTCCGCGCGACTCGTACGCGAACGAAGGCGCCCCGCCGTCTCGCATAAGACTCGCGAACGGCCCCCGCGGAACGTAGCACCTGTTGCGCAGTCGAACGACTTCTTCGCCCGTGGCGCCGAATTTTTTGCCGATCAGAACGAAGTCGTCTCGCGCCGGAGGCGACGTAGCGTCGCCGACACCGGATTTCGACACCCAAATCTCGAACCCGGTCAGTCTGACGGGACCGCGGGTCAGGCCGACAGCTACGCAACTCAGTTCCGTCGGGCAAGGCAGCGTCAACAGTACGCTGACGGGAGGCTTTATGAAGTACTCGGCCATGAAACCACTACGACGCCTGTCCGCACTGATGAGGTTGCCGACGTCGTAGCCTTCGGCACATATCTGATCGCACTCAATTAAAGTGCCCACATTTTCGTTGCAAAAGTCAATGGCCATCACTTCCAGCGCCAGCTCAGCTCAGTATCAGCTTCGCAACCGAATACAACGTGGTGTCGATGACGCTTTGGTAATGGCGCACCGTACAATACCATCAAGGTTCTGCCACATACGCAGTTAGTACAGCTGGGGATACTCAATGCTGGTTTTACAATTTGAAAAAGCGAACCCCAATAGACCTCACGTTCACAGTCATATCATGCAAAATAGCACGAGTGCTTACCTAATCGTGGGCTGGCGCATCTTGCCACGTATTTGCTCGCTTTCGACTATCCAACCACTCAAATCGACGGCCAGTCGTCTACCCCGAAGGTCCTCAAGCTGGACCTTGCGGGCGACGGGTGACAGTACCTCCCACAAGTCCTTGACGCCCATGACTCCGGCTCGCGTGAGTATATCGCACGAACTTCAGCACGTATTGGCACTGTGGGTGGGAGTCGCCGCGCCGCCGCACGAAGATTAGAAAGCAGAACTACACCGACTTCACCTTGGAGATAGGGTGCGCTCGCATGAACGATAGGCGAGCGAGTCTTTCATGTCGTTGCCAAGTTTTGTCGGCGAACTACTAGGCCGGCTGCACAAGCGCAAACACTACTTTTACTTAAATGCGCCGCAACAGCTACGGCGTGACAACTGCCGCCATTACGTTCAAATCAACAGCCGCAGCACGCGAGGTACTATTTCAATTGTTTGTTTCTCTTTCTTTAAGTACTCTAATAATTTTTAAAACTAAGCGCAAAAAATGTTTTTAATGTCAGAAATTAATATATAACTACGTTTAAGTAACGCGCTAATTTTATGCAGGGCTGTGATACTTTCGGCGCAAATTTTAAACAAATTTGTTGCAACGAAACTCGCGATCAAGTACGACCGCATATCCCACGAACAAGTGTCCCGAAAAAAAAAAAATCTTCAAAAGTGACCCTCATTTCATATTTCATTGCTGTTGCTTGGCGGCATCATTAGTTTAGCTGCATCGAACCACTCAGTTTCGCGATGTTGCAAGCACTGCAATCGTGACTCAAAAAACCTGTTTGTGGCGTTCAGACATGCTAAAACTCAGCCACATGTCAACACGCCAAAACTCAGGCCACATGATAGGTTCACACATGTCATAGACCCATGCATTACTACCATACCATACATGTTTAGGCAGTGGAAGGCACGCGTCGGCATTGAAGACGGGTTAAAGCAGGGCCAAATAGCTCTAGCTGCTGCTTGACTGGGCCCAGCGAGCCGCTCGTACAAGCGCAGCTCTTGACAAGAGCTTCGCTGGCTATTGGCCTGCCGTACTGTGATGTATGAAATAATTTTCCTTTCATATATGTATTTGACCGTCTGCTTGCTCCATTTTTATTGTAGTTATTGTCACATCAACCCAACTTGGGGGACTGGCCTAGAAATGGGTAATCGAGATAAAATATTTGAAATGTCGAAAAGGGAATACTTAATTCCTTTCGTTGTGTAAGAAGATTTCTGACCTTCATTATTATTTGGCAATAAATAAATAGGTTCAATTGATTTTTAGCGAGTAAGGAAATAAATTGAGGAATATAAAAATAAGTATAACGAGCGCTGCATTGGTTGGATGAAAAGTTTTAGATCTGTGGTAGCGGTAAAACGATTGCCCACGTACGTTACAAACTGTGGTACAAAGCAACGTTACTAGATTCTTGTACAAAGTGCGCGCTCCTTTCATGACGTCATGCAACGCTGGTTACCACAGCGCCACAGCGGTACGTAACGTGTTTTATTTATGGTTAAAAAAAAGTGAGCTAGCAGTTACTTATTGCTATGTTATAATGAGTCTCTAAAAGAATTATACTTACGCTTTACTTTTGCCTCGAGTTAACGCAAATATTTAAGTAAAACAAACTACAAAAAAAGAAAACAAAAGTTTTTGTAGTTGTTGCGTTGCGCCACCTGTGGAATGAAGGCGGAGTTTTAGCCCGAGGGCCAAGTTAAAAGAAAACAACACACAATACAAAGGGACATAAGCGTCGCGAGAACTTCGGTCTGACAAGTTCTCTTTTTTCTTCTCCTTGCGCAAGTGCTCCTGCGTGCCGATTTGCGTGTCTTCCAAGCGACGTGACGAAGGTAGCGCGAAATGACGGAGCGGCAGCTGTGAACTAACTTTTTGAACGGACACTCCGCCGAATCTCACGGGACCGTCCTATTCGGGAATGCTGCGTCTGCGGCCGTGACAGCGGCGGCGGAAGCAGGTTTGGCCGTCGCATGCTTCTGACTGTTCTTTTACTTTTATTTTCTTTCTCTCTCTCGTCGACGCCATGGTTCGGACCTTGGGGAAGGCGGTGCGGACTCCGAAAGATTACGAGCGGTGACGTTTGTGTTAAGTGTCGTTTGTACCTGACGCGCTAGATCCGTACCGTAATTTCTGCGCGACCGCGTAGCGAGAGACGCTATGTCGTCGACCAATGCCGACCAGACCCGTTCGCCCCCAAGCCTGGGGTCGTCGTCGAGCAGCGGAAGCAGCACTCCGCGACCGCTGCTCATATCGGACACAAAGGACTTGCGCGCCGTGATCGGCTGTCAGATGCTCCTCCTGCATGCTCTCCGCAAACGCCGCCGACGGACGCTCCTGGACCGGCGCACGTACGCGGTGCAGAACACGATGCTCTTGCGCCGCGTCCAGAGACGCCAGTCGAGGATCCACTTTCTCATGAGCATCCTGAAGACCGCCTTCACGGCCGGCCTGGGTCACGACCTCTGCGCGAACCGAGGGAACGGCCAACTCTAATCACGTCTCGTCTTCGGCAGACTTCGCCGATGGCTTCGACGATGACGACGTGGACGACAGGTCGCAAGAAGGCAACGACCGCCTTCTCACTCCGGGACTCATCGGGGACGACGTCTGGCTCAACACGTTCAGGGTGGGGAAGGACCTGTACCAGTTCCTGCTGACCGAACTCAAGCCCTTCATGACGATGGGCCAAGCAGCGAACGGCGGGCTCCCGCCGTACGAGCAGCGCGTTGCCATCGCGCTGTGGCGCCTCGGCAAGGTCTGGGACGACCCGGCGCTGCTCAGGGCCTTCGGAGTGACGGGAGACGCCGTGGGCGCCATTGTGCGAGAGTTCTGCTCGGCGGTCGTCAAGGTGCTGATGCCCCGATTTGTGCAGGTAATAACAAAATGCCACAGCCGGTTAACCACTACAGCTGGCCCGTAATTGGATGAGAAGCACGATCAGTACTGCCGGAGCATGTCGCCTTTGATTTACGAGTGATGTCGCGTAATGCGCAAGCTTGCATGGGCCTTGTCTTGTCCCTAATAATATGCTATTATCTAGAAACTCCTCAGACCTATGGTGGTAACTCCCACAGGGGAAGCCTGCCAAATTTTTATTATATCGTGCCGTATCAAAGTAATTGAATCATCAGGAATGCTTGTGTGTAGTAATTAAATAACCAAAAAAGTTTACCCGAGTTAGACCATTGCTTTTGTTGGCATTGTTATGGTTTGTCTTTGCATGGTTTTAACTAAGAGAGGGATGAAGCCCTCAGATCCCGTCAGTTGTCTTGCCAACTCAAATTTTTTACACTGTGCCTAAAGGTACATCAGATGTACCTGAATTTACAAAGCTAGAGGTATGTCAGACATACGTGAAACCGGGGGTCTAAAGATATGACGGCTGTCACGATGTAGTGGGACACACCAGTCCCAGGGTGGGTCGTGGCTACTGCGGTACGAGCCTTTGTATGAGTCTGCTGACGCAAAAGGCTGACAAGGGACAAGCCAGAGGACCACTGCCTATGACAACGGAAAACTTCAGCCATCGCATGGTTGACAAACGGTGTTGCAGTTGGTGGTGCCAGTCTTAGACTTGTGTCAGTCACCGTGTTGCGAGTGCCACCTTAAAGAAGTACTGACACAAAATCGAAAGCATGATAATTTGTCGGATAGATTTGTCTAAGCTATCATATCAATGATATGGCCCAGAACATATATGAAATCAATTTTAAAGTGCGTATATGTTGTCTCCCCACCGCACACGAAATGCGCTTTCTGTTTTTGTCATGAACGGCCATCATTACAAGTTTGTCTTAGCTGCCACAATCCTTGCGAGTGTTCTTTCCTAGCAGACCTCTTGAACGGATAGACTTGCACGGAAGTTTGCCTCAGCAGTGCATTTCTTAGTGGGGATCGTAGCAGGCTACCCTAGGGCCTTCGCTGCAAAAATTGTCTGTGCGGTAGTTGTGTGAACGTGGTTTTGTGTACGCATAGAGCCAGCCGAGTTTGCATGGAAACAATTTTGTGTGCTGCCTCACTCAGTGCTCTTTGAAACTGCAACTGTCTCTCAAGAGCTAACTAGCATGGGTTAGCCCTTTTTTTCTAATTAAGTGCTATAATGGCTATATATAACCAAGCTTGAGTAGGCAAGAAAGTGCAACGTCCGATGTATCTTCAGACTCCCTGATCTGTGCATTCGTGGGTCCACAAGGTCAATTGTGCGAACAAATGATGGACAGGCTTGTCAAACTTGGAATCACTTGAGTGCAAGCTTGTGGGAAAGTGCGACGTCCAACTGTATCTTTAGACTCTCGGTTTCGAGTACCTCCGACAAATCTTTAAACAGCGAATTTTGAACAGCGAGGTACCAGTGGCCATGGTTAAAAACAAAAACTGTATTGAATGGCGCCTCCTTCTTTCTGCAAGGCCCGAGTATTGCTTTTCTTTGTTAAAGCAGTGGTCTAGTTGTAATTTATTAAATCATAAGTATTGTTGTTGAAGCATATAGTATTGTGTTTACTGCCCAGGTGCCTTTGACGAAGACCTCGATGACATCACCGACCAGTTCCGTGAAAAGGCTGGCCTTCCACAGTGCGCTGGTGCCCTCTGCTTTGCTCACATTCCAATCCAACCACCACCGGATGATGACTCTGGAGAATACACCAACCTAGAAGGTTGGAACTCCATCATTGTGCAAGCTGTGGTTGGTGCCGACCGGCGCTTCTGGGATCTCAACATTGGCTGGCCTGGCAGCACTCAGGTGGCCCAGGTGTTGCGTAGCTCCAGCCTCTGGAAGAAGGGCGAGGAAGGCACGCTTTTCGTTGTGCATGACGAGGACAGTCCCCCAGTGGAACGTACCCACAGGGTTCTCGCGGCAGGCACGGGCTACCCTCTCCGCAACTGGATCGTCACGCCGTTTCTGAACCCGGACGAGCGGCAGCTCCGTTTCAATCGTGCCCTCTGCGAGGTCCTCTCAGTCGGCGAGTTAGCCTTCAGACACCTCGAGGCGCGCTTCCCGTACTTGCTGCGCCACAATGGCAGCGGCGTCGACCTGATGCCAAGCATTGTGGCTGCGTGTAGCACCCTGCACAACATGTGCGAGGAGTGGGGCGATGGCGTTGGTGACGGGTGGCTCGCTGAGGCTTCTAGGCACGCGTTGCCTCAGCCGCATGCTGGCGCTGACCCGGCCCGAGACATGTCACGATGCCTTGAAGCAGAAGCCATTCGGACGACCCTGTTTGCAACTGTAGTAAAATGATGTTTGAGGTTTTAGTAAAGACACTTCCTTTCAACGTGAGCATTGACTGTCACTCAAATTTGTATGCTAACTACCTATATTGGGCTCAGTATTTTGGTAACACAGTTTTGGGAGGATTTACTTAGAGGTAGTTCTTTACAGCTTTTATGTTACTATGATATGCGCTCTCTTGGCTTCTTCTTGAGACTGTACGGGTCACTGTAGAGCGTAGCAAGTGATTTGAGGCCACAGTCACAACTTAATGCTGTAACAAGCTCTTCCAAGCATCTTCCAGCATTGCTACATCCAAGTGATTTTGCTTGGCATGCTATCGCAACACTGTACGAATACCCCCATTTGCAAGCATAGCCCACAACGACGTATACGGTGCATAGACCTGGTTGCTGGTCAACCGAAGCTTTGCTCACTGTTAGGTCACTTCATAATTTAACACTGTGCACATCATTCTGGACAATACTGCCGTGGAACTTCTATCAAGGTCCAGCTTCTAACTCGTCGTTTGGCTCAGGTTCTCACCGCTTACAACCATGACCTGCTCAAAACTCGGCCCTCTGTCACTGTAAGCTTCCAAACTCTGTGATAAAATAATTCACAGTGGCCTCTCAATCACAGCCACTCTGTGATGAACTGACTAGCTTCAGTTATATTCATTTGAGTGCACTCATGCCTTTAGTAAAGGCTGCTCCACAATGGTTAACTGTACTTTAATTCAAATTCATGCTGTACAAGGGTGCTGAGGTTTTTTTCAACCAGTTCTTGTCGGACGAGCAAGCCAATGTATCATTTATTATCGTCTTTCATGCCACACCTTTACTGGTTAAGGCACTTGTCTCCATTCCGAGATTACTCGAGGAAAAAAAAAAAATCTCGAACTACTGCCATTTAGCTGCAGTTAAGCTTCGACAGCAGTATTCTCGTGTGACCACTTGGGGCCACAGTTTTCAGCAGAATTCTCGTGGGCCCCCAAAAAGGTGACTGCACGAGAATACTGCTGTTGAAGGCTTAACTGTACAGCTGAAAAACGATGTTCCACTCTGAATGAAATATTTTCTTGCCCTTAGAGTTGAAAGCTTACAAGCTAATAAACTTGTGTGTTTGCGGCTGCTACATTCCTAAAGGGGCAGAATGCAAAAGTACTCGCGTACTGTGCTTTCAGTGTGTGACGAACAACTCCAGATGGCTTTACCAAGGGCATTGTCGTGTAGCTATGGGACATGAAGCTATGTCACTTATCTTTTAAAAAGAGATGCTAGAGGAAAACATTCAGCCATTCCATACTGATAAAATAGTTGTAGAAAATTCTATCGTTTTCTGTATTCACTACATGGCTTTTTTGCATGCTAACAAGTGCTCCCCACTGTGCCCAAGCAAACTAGCAGGTTTATGTTTCTGTCGACTTCCTCCTCCGTCGCACTCTGCATCAGCGAGTGCTGACATTTTTCATGGCCGCTACCATTGTGGAAACTAGGTGGCGCCTTACACAACAGCTTATGACGAATTAGTGATTTCAGAAGCACGATCCCAAAACGTAGATCTAGTTAATGTTTTCCTATACTGCCTCTGAGCCACAAGCTGTAAATACATGTTTTACGATGCTGTTGTTGGAATGAAACCTCTCTGTTAACTGTTTTGCCTAATGCAGTTCTGTGTAGAATCACAATAAGTGCAAAAGCTATGGCACGACAATGCCACCCACACTGGTAAGACCGAACTCTCATCATGTGTGTACTCGTACGTTGCTCAATGTAAAGCACTCCCTCGTTGCATTGTTTGGAAGATGTGTTTAGAGTCGTGGCAACGGAGTCGATCCGGTCACAATTTGTACCGCTCCATGTCATAGGACACTTGTTGTACAGCCTTTCAGAATCTCGTGCGTTTTGTAGGTCACACTTTAAGGTTGTCCACTATACATAGAGGAGTAAAAGCCATCCTCCATTTTGCTGAAGTGCTTCCACATATTTAGCTAGTTTAGGTTGTCGTACGCGAGTGCCTGTGTGCCTAAATGTGTGGTGTTGCAATATGCCTCTGCTGTGTGTATGTTTGTATTTGTTTAGTAGAGTCGTGTCTCTTGTAACTATCTGCTGTGAGTGTTTGCATTCCAGCATTTTGTCATTGAAATGCAGTTTTTATTTTTCATTCCTATTCGACAAAAGTGATGTCGATTCCATTTTTACGGGTATTTGTGGATCCCAACAAGCTCGTGCACATTACGTGTGGCTCACAAGCTGCTGAAATCTTCATCATAAACTTGAAATGCAGCACCCTGGTTGTGGTAATATGGAAGAATGCTTATGTGTGTGTATTTTCGTGTGCGTTAAGACAATCACAGGCGCTTGAAATTAAACCTATGTCCTACTGTGCATTTTTGGTTGAAGATTTTATGCTCTTAGAGTTAAACTTCATGGCTTGATGGCGCAGTTTAATGCCAGTCAATCGGGCAACGCCCTGAGGTGCAGTGGACAAAGTAATGAGTGGCTTTGAAACTTTTCACAAAGGCTGTTATACACAGAACAGCCGGCATATTTGTATTCTAAACTGTAATGTGATTTGCTGCCTTTTGCATCGCACATTCTTGAACAGGTTTACTTAACGTGTATTACTGGGCAATGTTTCTTACTTCATACTTGGGCATCGTTTGAGCATAGATCTGTTGCTTTCCACCTTAGTGTCTTCAATACCTGCAACTTTTCAGTGACCAAGGAACGGTGGTTAGCAGTCATTTCCAGAGTTCCTTTTGGAAAACTTGGAAATGTTCACATATCAGTTTAATTGATCAAAATCAAAAGAACTCTTGGACTAACTAAATAGTGAAAGCAGAGGATTAGCATGCTGGTACGCATTGCTGTCGTTATTGGTGACGAGAGAAGCCCGGCATAGTATGCCGCTCTGCTGACCATAATTGCATTACTGCTAACATTTAATGTGCCTTATTTTATTCTGTCATCAAGCCACAAATGTTACATTCCAGCAGCTAATAAGCGCGTGAGACTGCTGTGAAAAGGTGCTTCCAAGAAGTTTTGTCTTCCATGCTTCAAGCTGTCAGAAGTGGTAACCCGTCTTCGAATGTGGAACCAAACCCTTTCCACCTTGTGTCCTTCATTGCTAGCATCTCATTCTGCATACTACACCAAGAAAAAGCGTACTCAGTGTAGATTCTTTGTAACAAAACCATTGTTTCCTTTGTTGATGAATATAACTTTGACTCGGAGTAGCAGCGTTAAAGTGGCATTGTGAACATTTGAGTCCACTCCTCAGTTTTATTTCGCGCATCTTAACAAAAAATTTGACTTTTTTTTTTCTGAAATACTGTGGTTTATATACATTTGCTTATGAATTTGTGTTACTCATGTGCGTTAGCCTACAAAGGTGAACATTTCGGCAGAAGTCTGCCTGGTTAGGATAGAATAGGGTCATATAGAAAACTATGATCAAAAATTTTATTCAGAAACCCGACGTTTCGAAGCCGCACAGGCTTCTTCGTCCGGGGTGAGAAAGCCAGAAGTGTGCGGCACTTGTATACGCTTGCTCGATAGGCTTGCCGCGACCCGTCGCAAACCCTGGCAGTAGGGGGAGGGCAACGTCCCAGTGGAGCGGCTGATAGTCGGCGTCGGATGTTCCTTTGCTTTTTCCAGGATCACTTGGCCTTGCACTTGTATTAGATACTGAGCTTGAAAAGGAACACATGATGCCCGAGTTAACTTTAAGTTGGCATATGTGTTGAAAGCAAATAAAATGCTGTTGCCTAATCAAAACTTCCTGTGGGGACAGTCTTGTAGCATTCAGAAATTCTATAGCACTCGTGCTTATGTAACCGTCGCAGATGCGTGGCTACTGTGTGTTTCATTTGTCTCTACATTGCATCATAACCTGTGCTCCCCCCCCCCCCCTTTTTTTCTTTGTGGACACTGAGGAAAAATGGGTTTAATTAGGAAAAGTGAATTAATATTAGTCCAATATTAGTCCATGTTTAATTTTTTATAAGTATTTATAGGAAACAGCCAACTGTAGATAATAAGAACAGGGGGTTAGAAATATCAAAACTGCCAATGTCATTAAACATATCGTTCCAGAGCAGCATTTTTGTGCACATTTGGCTTTACTGCAGAGAAAGCCATGCAGATTTAAATGTGTGATTTTTGACTACAAGTGCAGGTAGTTCCATGGCCCTGGTTGCTTCTGTATTCGGGTTTCAAGGTGTTTTTTGTACAACAATGTTTTGCACTACAACATGAATCACTCTAACGAACCTGACTGCAGGTTCAAAGTGCCTTTTTCAAAATACACAAGCTGTACAACATGGCAGTGTGTTGCCAGCGTCCACTGCTTGTGCAACATATCGAGCTGCGTTGGTTCAGAAAACTTCCTGTGACAGCCGTGCAATTTGTTGGTGCAGTGGCTGATAGTGAGAAAGGTTTGGCACCCTCCTCATTCAAGTTAGCATATGCACACCGAATATGCTTTTCTTGGGCAACTGCTTTCACTTGAATGAAATTAAATTATGCCAAATGTTGCAAGCGGGTTCTTCAAACGTTGCATCTTGCAGCTAGGACAGTGCAATATCAATTTCATAAATGGCATACGTTTGTATAGCACAGTGGTTTCTGTATGTGACATACTTGTATGGCAATCACTCAAAATTTAATGTGTGAACTTTCATCTTGCCTACCTTGTGTGCTTAAAAGGTTTTTTTCAAAGCTGCAGTGCTTATGGTCTAAAGATTTTCGTAACTGCAAATGTGACGGTTGTCTCACAAGTACTCTGTATAAAAAAAATTTGAATTTTGGACTTTGGCCTTTTTAACATTTGATTCAGCAGTCGCTCAACAAGTGCATTCTTGCATTTTACAAGCTCTAGAGTTTGAATGGGAGGCTGTGTGCTAAACCTTTCTTTTGACTGTTCAAATATAACATGGTTGCCAAGTGAAACACAACATTGACTGCTAGTGTGCCATGCATACCGTCGGTATTCTCACATTCATGCATAATGTTGCTTTGTCTGTGCGATATTCCTTGCTCATTTCACAAACATGTTTTTTGCTACCAACTATAGTTTTACTATTTAAACATTATCAACAGAACCATGACAAGAAACATAACTTCAGGTGCTATTTTTGTGATGTTGGAAAAGCTTTCTGGCATTGTGAGATACCTTGGGTGCCTTCCCTTTTGGAATGATACAAGTATTTTTGATAACCAAGTTTCGCCTCTCAGTACATTAAAAAAAAATATACATGAGAGGCAGTTACTTTTGAACACTGCAATAAAATTCCTACACAAATGGTTGTCTATCGAGTCCAATTCAAGGAAGAGAATGCGGTAGAACTGGTTACAGCACTTTCGCAGGCAAATCGAGCTTCATTTCAACAAGGAGTGCTTAACTAGCCGCCCTGTATGGGAGACAAGTTGCAGAGAGCTCCGGATTTGACGTCATTCACAACTTCAACCTGCATTGCTTGAAGAGGTTGATGGCACTCGCAAAAGAAATGGAAATGCGTAATTAACTAAATAAAGTTTCACTGATATGTTTCACCTAATTAATTTAGGACACATAAAGAAAGAACTCATGGTCCCTCCAGCATTCTAGTCAGCCATCGTATGTGCAAGAACACACGAGGCCCGAGTACTTCGATTTAGGTAGGCTATAAGAAATTACAGGTGGTCTAAATCTTCAGAGCCCACCGTTGTGGTGTCCCTCATAATCATATGATTTCGGGACATTAAACCCCAACAACAGACATTTTTTTATTATTGCAAAGCTAGTTTTCCTGTTGTGCAGTTTGCTTAACTAATGGCAGCTAGCCACTTACTGCAAACAGCACATTCAAGTGCTTGTGATGTAGATTGCTCTTTGGATTCAAGTGTATAAAAGATAAGCCCCAGCATGTGCCATTTGGAACTCGTATCCACTTTAAGCGTGACAGATGCAGTCATAAGGGCAAATTCGCAGCGCAGGAAGGAAAAGCACTTGTGTATTATCAAAATGGTCTATTATTGCAGTTTTGTTATGAATTCACCTAAGACACCAAAGCCATCCTTTTCCTCAGTTGTATTGATCATTCCCTGGCATCCTATGAAAGCTTTCTACACCTCGAGTGGTTTCACACTGCCTCAGTGCGAGGCATCAATGATGCAATAAAGTTGCATGATTGGTGATGTCGCCATGTAACATTATGGTATCTGACCTTGAAGCAACATCACAAATTTTTGAAGTCTGTAACGTTATCGTATGATGATTCCTTGCACCATTCTAGTACATGTTACCAATAAAGGCCACCACCGCTGCCAGTCAATTTTCGCATTCAGGCAGAAGTATGAAACGTGGCCCGCAAAGCTCTCATTTGCGAACCCGCGGCCCACTCATGGCTGCCTTTGTCCCCCATTTTTTTTTCTCAATACGCATGTTCGTGAGCGACACAGGTACAACTGATCTAAAGCATTTTTTTGTGGGGCAGTCCATGTGATCACACATGTTGGAATGTAACCCTGAAAAAAACAACTATAATTCGGAATCTGCATACGATTTAATCATGAAATATTGGTAGCGATGTGTTGTTGTATCTCGGCACAAAATCTTTGACACAATCCGTAAATCAGACATGGGAAAGGTTCTTTCAAATGGTTACGTTTGCTGACACTAATCTGCCTCTCTCCTACATTCTTCCCTTGTCCAGCCCCTTTCGGGACTGAATTGCATGATGGCAGCCCGCTGGCTGAGATGAATTCGAGACCCCCAATCTAAGGCTTTCGCGTTATATGATGAGCTCGCATGACTCAAAACGAGTTCTGAACTAACATTCTTAAAACTGAGTAGTTGAAACCTGCAGAAAGATGCATGTTAACAGATATAGGTACAATGGCAACTTACAGGCTCAGATAAGTACAGCTTGACGTCTTGTGCTAGCTGGATTTAAAAGTGAGATAAAAGGTAGAAGCGCCTGTCTAGTCAACTTTCTTCATTTGCACAAAAACTTGCTGCAAGCAATAAATGAGCCCCACCAAGCTTATGTGTTGACATTTGAAATTTATTCAGAGGCAGCACATAAATCGTGCACTGTCTGGTAAACTTTGGAAATTCACGCAAGCATCGCAAGCCTTGCTTACAGTTCGGACTAGAAGTGTCCCAGACATGACAAAATGGCGCATGGCAAGTGATGGTCAAGTGACGAAGGAAGGAAGGTTAACCAGACAGCAGACATTGGCTGACTTACACAGGAGAAGTACAATAGTCCCAGACCTTCACAAAAGCTCGTAGGCCTTAAAAAATAGAAGAGCATGCATTGTAACAAAGCATGGCAGCCATTTGCACTGAACGAGAACATGTGCAAAGTGATCGTGACATGGCAAACAAGAACAGCTAGTTTTAGAGTTTGCTACTCACCACCGTTGAAAAATGTCATGCACACTTCGAAACTACGCCTATACTACATTAAAAAGTCCTCAGTGACTTAATCATGTTGCTATGAAAACACATTCACTACAGTAACATAACAACTAACAAAGTAGTGGCATGCCACTGAAAGAACAATGGGCACTATTAAAATTCCCAAAACCTAAAAAAAAAAAAAGATGTTTTCAAAAATATATTCACCAAGCAGGCTTCGTCAAACGGTGAGAAAACATGCTTTAAAAACTTTCTGAAAAATGTCCTCAAACAGGTTTACCGAAAGCGAGAAGTTGCTTCTTCAAACATCATGAGACAGCACATAGTATAACCACAAGTTGAGGGCATGAATGCCAGAACACAGCGCAGTGTAAAATGCTGCTTAAAAACATTGGCATACGCACTGCCCACTTTTTAACACCAACTTTGTCAAGGACGATTACAAAACATTTAAAGGGGCTTTGCTTCAAGCTCTTCAGAGGGCGTTGTCTTTCACACACAAACATGACTAAATTAACACTTAATGAGACAAGGTCTCACTAGAAACAACCAATGATATCCAATTTAATGATACGAACTTTCATATTCACAGTTGCTTTAACAATATGCCATTCTTTTTCATACAAAAATTATACATTGAAACTTTTTAAACTAATGATGCAGCTTAGTAGAAAAACAAGTTCCTTTGTAAATTTTGTGAATTAGAAATGCCATAAGAACAAGTAAATTGAGGAATTTCGTTTTACCTAAATCTTATGTTAAATGAAAAGTAGTTGAGGCATTCGCTTCTAAACATAGCAAATTGCATTCAGACGTATGAAACAAGTTTCCAACGAGCACATAACTATATGTACCAGTCCAGAGGACATATTCGAGGTCCATGTTCCCTTTTAAAAAGACAAAAATATTTATGTCACAAAAAACAGCTCCAAAAAGTGAGCTTGTCAAATGTAAAAACATTTAAAAGTAATGTGACAGCAAAAAAGGACAAGTTTTGTCCATTAGACTTAACATGATCAGTTTCGCTTACTGCACAGAGCTGTACAGCTCACTTTGAACAAAGTTCACATAACTTAGGAAACTTCCTAAGTTCCATGGTCCAAAGTTATACCCAACTGCAAAAAAAAAAAAAAAAAAAAAAAAAAAAAAAAAAAAAAAAAAAAAAAAAAGTGCAGTCATGTTGAAAAGTTGCATCGCAGCCAACCTCGTAGTTTGCATAAAGTAGTCTACATGCTTTGAATGAGTGTACCGTATAAAGAAAAAATTTGGGAACAGAAGTTCCATAATAAGAAATTAGATGAGTGGCAATCATATATATAGAACATATAGCACAGAACAATACAAACAGGCACACCTCCACCTCGCAGAAGTTTCAGAGATTCTCCGCTGAGCTAATTGGCTCACTGCACCACTTGGACACCGTCTTCATCAAGGATGACTAAGAACACTGGATGACTAAAAAAACACCTTCTGAATGTCGGGCTATGCCTCCTTCAGCGCGTAGTTGACGTCGTCAACGCTGACGTTCAGTTGGATCTTGTGGAAGAGATCATTCGTGCCGAGCTCTGACAGCAGTAGTCGGCAGCTTGACAGCCGTGAGCTGACGCTGGAAACCTCGGAAAAAGTTGGGGGCTTTCACTCCTGCATCGACAAAATGAAACGAACAAGCTGTCATCAAAAATGATCACGAAACGCATGCATTAACAAACAGCATGAGACGACTATCGAAGGATTGTTCGCAATGCGTCAGTTTATTCGTGCATCTTTGCAGAATGGCGACTTGGATGTAAATATCGCGCTAGTGTCGAACCAAAATGAAAACGCCGATAAACTTCGATTCAAAAGAATCCATGAATGAGCTAGTTCACAATTCATATTCGTTCAGAGAACTGGGAGCACAACGGACGAAGCAGAACCACATAACACAAAAGTTCTGACATTCTACCTGAAGTCCACTGTCGTCTTGTGGCTAGAAAACCTATAAATGCAGAAATCTAGTGTTTGCATAGGTTCAAGCATGGCACTTGTATTGAAAGGGAAGCTCTTTTTAAAGATGAAAACATGTGAAAAAATAATTTTCTGAATACATATGTAGCATTTTTGTAATATTAGGGAAATTTCGAACAGTTTCACACACTGCTGATGTGACAGGAGCTGTGCTGTTTTCTTTGACATGGACTTACCTTCGAGTCTGCAGATGGTGATGTGCTGATTGTAGACCTTGGAAAAGGTCGTTTCTTCAACACCCGTACGACGAAACTCTGCAACTACTGCTCGCAGAAAGATCTGCTCCTGTTGCGAGAGGCACCTGCGTAACAGTAGATTTCCCAGTCCACGATGAAAAGGCATTCGGCAACCAATAATTCAGAAGCGTTTCAGCAAACAACGCTCACATCTCGGTACACACTAAAGCCTCATTATAGCAAAGTTGAACCTAACACGAAAGTAAGTTTGTTATACACGAAAATTCCTTATGAAGGTATATCACTAGCCCTAAATCTACTGTGAGACTTTTCATTTACTTTGCTATAACCGATATTTCGTTGCATTCACGTTTGTTATATCGAGGTTTGAGTATACGAACCGTTGGTTAAAACAAAGTGACCAACAGCTTTGCCTTAGATACAGTGCAACAAATAATCGTTTATAATGAATTTTTGGATGTAACGAAGTATTTTTGTGGCAGATGTCACTGTTTTTATAATGAGGTTTGACTGTACTCAATATTGCAGGCTTTGGAATGAAACAATTACAGAGAACAAAAGCAGAGATAATCCTTCAGAAACTTCAAACATTTGTATCAGTTTTGCCCACTGTACAGAAGGTGTAAGGCAACATGCCATTTTGAATCACCAGTTTACCAAATGCTGGCCATTGATTGAGTGACTGGAGAATTTAACATTTTCAATTAAAAGGCTTATAAGCGATGCCATGGTAGACAACTCTACGTACATTTTGACCACCTTGGCCTTCTTAACCATGCACTAGCAGTGCTCTCCATCATGTCACAGTCCAAGAATTCAAACCATGACTGAATTCTGCAGCATAATGATGTAGCCAGTGAGTGAGTCACCAGTGGCGGGTCGAGCCGATAAATTTCGCCATTTAGTACATTATGCTAGCTCTGTTTTGGGAAGCATTTGTCCAGCTAAAGTATAATTATCTAGGGCTACATAGTGTTGCTGGTGTTCACCAGGACAGAAGACAGATTACGGTTCTAAAACACGAAAGAGGAATCCCACCTTATGGCACGTATCTTGGGTGACGAGAACATCTCCTGAATTGCACAGTCGACGTGGGCCATTCCGACAACGTGGCGCGTCGTTTTCTTGGGACTCTCGTGCAACGAGTGCTCCGCGATTTCCGTGGCACGACGACAGACGTCGAGCGCCCGCCGCGCGTCTCCGGACACTGCTGCCACCTGTTTGGATGACAGCAAAGATAACTCCCGCAGTCACAAAGTTGTCAGCTGCTCCTTCCACATATCCTGTGCTTACTACGATTTCGATGAAAACTAAAACAAGTCTCCTGTTTATCTAATAACCTTAACATGTACAGAAGCTGCAGCGTCACAAAGAAATGAACAGAGTAAACACAACACTCTTTTAAGCTGCTGAAGAGACACAATGGAAAATGCACACCATAATTTTTTCTGCATCAGTGACTTAGTTGAATAAAAATGCTACTAAAGTTTGCATCGATGCTCATCTATCTGAATTGAAAATGAGTATACCTTTTTACAACTTAAGCAAAAATGTTGGCTCTGCCCAACAGCACTGATATATTTTCATGACTTCAGGTACTCGTCGACTGTTTCAGATAGCAGACTTTCCATATAATTCCTGTTGCTGGGTCATAAACTTAAACATCCTGGTAAATTTGGTTAGGGATTCTAACATCCTCGGCAGAACCCTAATGTTTCAGGTAGCAACAACTAATCTTTATCTCGTAATATGCGTAGTATATATACAATAGCCAAGAAAAAGTACTTGAAGGGGTACTGAACCAAATTTTTGCTGCCAAGATTTTGAGCCAAAGTGAAAGATTAGGTGTTGAAATGGATAGACACAACGTTTGTTTCAGGCAGCAACTAGAGAAATAGTATGAATTTAACAAGTTTTCCGCAAAGCACGGCATCTAGCGACCGCACCGTGAACTGGAGGAGGTGATGTTTGGTGGTGTTACACTTGCTGAAAACAGGCATCCCTACAATGCCAGCTGTCGTCCACGTCTCTCAAACCGCTAAACTCCCACTATTCGTCCTGAGATTGAATGGAGTCACCGCCTGGTGTGGATTGCTTCCTGCGTCGCCAGCTATCCACATAAGGCTTGCATGTGCGCGTATGTCATGCTCGTGAATAAAGAGTAGTTTGTCTCGTTCTGGCGCAAGTTTAACTGCAGTTGCAGTCAAAACAAGCAACACTAAAGATCTTGACGACTACGTCCTTACCTTTCTTGCGACAAGCTGTACCGCATCGGGGTCGAAAGCTTCCAGACCTTGCATCCGGGACAGCACTATCTCTTGCAGCTGCTTGTGGTTGTAGGGGTGAAAGGTCATCCTGGTCAATCCCTGCAGTAATGTGCAAGGACGTGATAGACTTAAGAAATGCACTGCAGAAGAAACACGTGACAATGGGCAAGTTCGTTAGACATGACCAAAACATTTCGTGCATGAACATTACAAAAAGCACTGAAGACAGCGACCGAAAATTCAGAGAAAAACGCATCAGCAGCAAACAACCATTTCATACGTAAATGAGCATGACGTATACACAGAAACCATACGTATGTGCAGATCTGTCCAAGCTACGACCACTCCTTGTCCTTGTTTATCGGGTCAATTTCCGTTTGGCCAAGTGCTATGAACGGCACACTTACACACGCATCCTTTGCTGTTGTTTTTATGGGGTAGGCTTCAACAACTCTTTTTTGCTAGCCTGCTCGACTTTTGTGCAACTTCACTTTATTTGAACACAGAACAACACGCACACCTGCTGTAGTGTGTCGCCAGATGCCATAGAGCTTGCAAAAGGTCGCAGTTGTATCGGTGCTTCTGCAGCCTCTCATGACACACTTTCTCATCTGTTCGACATAATGAGCTCCGTAGGACAGTGGGATCCTGTACACGAGGTTCTTCGTGCGTTTAATAAATCTATTTAAATGTTTGGCCGAGCAAACTGCTTCTTCATTACGTAGTAGTTGCTATTGACTTTTGTGCACAATCCTATGGGCCTTTTTCAGCAGTTTTCACTGTGCACACATACAATGCCGCAAAAAACTTAACTATTAATTAGCTATGCTGCATTGTCCAGCATTGAAATGGCATAAAGTTACGTGGGCAGACAAATATAAAAAACTCACCAGCCGGCTCGACACACGATTCGACATGAGCCTTTCGGGTAAATCCATGGTGTTGGCAATCGTCAGCACAATGAGCCTGGACTTGGGCTTGGTGGGCCAGTCAAACAGGTTGTAGAGGACCTGCTGCTTGCGCGTCCATAGCAGGTCAAGCTCATCGACTAGAAGGACAATCGGATCATGTCGAGGACCGGGCCGTTCAAAACGACGACTTAAGAGCTCTGCCGCCTGCTCCGGCGTTGCATTTTCACCAGTCAACGCCTGCAAGAGACGATGAACATAACAGCAGGAGTTGTCATGAACTTGTTCTTTTCGTAAATTTTCCTAAATGTGCCGTTTTAAATGTGAAGCATTTCTTAGCCTACATGCACCAAGAGACCAAATATACAAGAAAAATCCCAAAACTGTTTGAAGAACTGCATAATTTGTTGTATGTATAACAAAATATCTTTCTGGTACTTATGAACACCTAATAGTACATATAGGAAATGTACACTCAAACCTCGATATAACGAAATCGGATATAATGAATGATTGGTTATATAACAAACTACGTAACCAATAGGTTTGTCATAGGTACAGTGTTATGAATAATTGTTCGTAATAAAATTTTGCATATAACAAGTATTTTCGTGGTAGATGTGACTTTGTTTTAATGAGGTTTGAGTGTACTTCGAATTAGGTAAAAACAAGCAGTGACAGCTGCTGTGCCAACCAAGCAAGTGCTGAAACAAGCACAGCTTTGAGCAAGCACTGTTCGCGCGCCAGTCACCCGAGTGGCGCCACTTTGTGTTTGCGAATTCCGTTTTCTTTTGTTGTACTGCCCCAGGCAGTAGTAGTGTTGTTGCGGTTGAAACACGATTCGCTTACGAATGGAAGGGTTCGCGAAGGCTTCTAGAGTTTACCACTTCTCGACGCACAGCTGCGACCGAACTGAGTGCAGGCTCCTCAAGATAGCGGGGAAACGCGCAGCTGCTATTGGTCTTTTCACGCAATGACGCTGTGGCCTGGTCCGACGGTTGGTCCTTGCATCATCTGCTCAACTAGTGCTAGCACTTGCTTTGTGGATTGCTGCTGCCGTGCAGGCAGCCTTTGTGTTCCGCTTCACTTTTTGTTTTCACTCACTAAAGTTTCCGAATTCTACACGATCTTCACAATCTTGCATCGTGCCTGCTGCCAGAAAGGAATCATATATGCCTGCGATTGTTGTTTTATCGAACACACCGGCAGTCGCGCTACATGCATTCGGTAGGCCAGTGAACCGAATCGTTATTGTAAGCTGCGTTACCGTGCTGAAGTGTGCTTTCAATAATAATTATGTCAACTATTTCATCAGCAAAACAGCAAAGACCCTTTTTAAAATTGTGAAGTTAGCTTTCCAGCTAAGCAGTCTCATGAACTAATGGCGGTTAGTCACTTACTGCAAATAGGCCTGTTCAAGCACGGTTTGCTTACGCAATGATGTGGATAATTCATAGTCGGCTCTCTTGATATAAGCAATAATAATAGGCAAGCGCCAGCATGTTCAACTAGGACGGGGTATCCGCTTGAAGCATGACAGGTGTTGCCATTACTTGGGCCAATACACAGTGCAGAGAAGCGCACTTGTGATTCATGAAAAGGGTCCATTTTGTCGACGGTGTCAGCACTTGTATATTCAGCATGCGCCAATGACACATGAGTGCGTAATTTAAATGCCTTGGCAATTGCAACTTGTACATCCAAAACTGGAAAGAACGAGGGATGGAGGGAAGAGGAAACATGACAAAGGATAGAAGCATATAACAAAGGCTTCTACTGCACACTTGCTTTCATTTTTCCGACCCAAACAAAAGAGGAAGAAACTGTGCGGTTACAGCCTTGAAGAATACAAGACCTCTTGATCAAGCACTGGCTAATGCCCTGTGCTCAAGGATTTTTCATATAACCATATGCATGATGCATACAGTTACATGGCAAGTGCACTTACACGGCATGAGACGTTTACGTAGGCGACTTAGAACGAGAAGTTCACAGCCACTTACGTGCCATTCTGTACATCTAGCCTTTTTTTCCACGACAAAACGAGAAGTACACTCATACCTCATCATAACAAAGTTGCATGCTCTATTAATTCTCTATTAAAATAGGTTCGTTATATTCAAAACTTCGTTACAAATGATGTTTCTGAACACTATCTATTGCAAAACTATTTTTAAGTTACTTTGTTAGTAACCGGTATTTTGTTATATCGAGGCTGTTCAATAAATCTAGCATGGTCCATTTGCACGCGAACCTTCAGGCTCGCAGTTCATGTTCACGCTGTTTTGTAACAGCAAACGAGATGCCAGCAAGCCGTTACTGGGACAAGTCTCGTGAGCATAAGTGCAACAACTCACCCTCAGTATGTGACTGTAGCACTGTGCGGGGCTGGTGAGCTTCATGCCGTTAACCTCGACGAACTTGAAGGACGGGACGTGGCCACCGTCGACGGACTCTTGCAGCACCCTGAGGACATCAGTGAACGGTGGCCGTCTTGCCAGTGCCAGGCACGCCCGAAATGTACATGCACCTGTGAGGCACAAATGAACAAGAAGGTTGGCTTTGATATTGCTGGTATGAGTTTGTTGTGCAGCTATTTCTAGGGGGATGGTCAATTCCCAAGTCTTCGAGAGGAGAAACGGAGTGACGCGTAAACTGCTGATTTGGCAAGGCCAGCCACAACAGGTGGAACCGCTACATACCGGTGCTTAAACAGGCACAAAAAATGTCCTGAACAATTACGCGATATCTGTGTGCTTACCATAATAACGTAAGTCACTGTACATGAAAGAACCATGAGCTTAGGTAAAAAAATGTTATCCCAGCAGTGCAAGCATATTTCTTTCATTTCACAGATTGAAGACAGTTGCCCATGTTCACCCTCGATATTTGTTTTCACTGTCTGCATATGCTCATGTGCACCCACAATTGTTATATGGTGCACTTGATGTTTATTACTTAGAGGTTGCAGTAATGAGAAGTGACGGCAACGTATGACGGCAGCAAGTGTTTCTAAGGCGTCTCTTGCATTGACGATCTCGTAGGCAGGGTAAAAACATTTGCTTGCACAATGAAATGCTGGAGTAAAAGCCCGCATCTTCACTCATATTTTGTAAGAAACTAATTAACAGATTCGGATCTTTTGCAGTAGGTTAAAGCGAGAAAGACTTCACTGACTCACCCTCCTGTGCCATCTTGCAGTTTGCCCTCAACAAATGAATAGATGTCTGCAAACTCTTGCTCCCGGCACGGAAGACAGGTCGGCACAGCGGACACGTGCAGCCTGCAGGTTTGTATGAAAAAGGAACATCAGGAACGATGTACTAGTTGCAGGCGACCACCCTTTTGAAGGGACGCTAAAGGCAAATACAGGGAAAGCTCGTTAACTTGAACTAGGTTAAATGATAAGGCATTCTTAGCAAACTTGTGCGACTGACAGTGCCTGTCCCAGTGTCGGTCAGTCTCTCTAGCCACCCCGTGGGGACTTAATCCACATCAATATTTGTTTCAATGCACCCCCCCCCTGCACAATTTGAGAAGTGCTCCTTTGCGCCGATTGTCTCGGCTAGTTTCGTCCCAAATAGACGGTGGTCAAACATTCAAGCTGGTGCCTTCATGAGTAAGTAGGACAAAGGTTTCTCCACTTTTGAGAGCGATGTACTGGCCTGATTTTCGATAATTTTATCACTTCATTCTGCTCCATACGTATCATAGTACAACAGCGGGTTGTTTTACTGATTGTGTGAAAAATATGGGAGAGCCTACAAAGGAACAAGCAAGGCATCATCGGCCCACATCTTACCGTGACTTGGCTATGTCGAGCGGCGTTCGAGGTCCCTCGATAGCCTGACTCCTCTTCGGAATAGACGGAGTGAGACACAGTGTTGACATTCTTGGGGTCCGTGGAGTCCGTGGTGTCCGCGGAGTCCGTGGCGTCCCAGGGAGTGTTTTCTTCGCAGATGTGCGATGGAGTTCGCATTGCAGATGGCTTCTGATTAACGTTTGGAAAATAAAAAGTGAAAACAAAGACTTGTAGGACATATTTTTGTTTAAAATGTTTTCAGCACGATACAATCGCCTATGTAGAGGGCCAAAGTTTCATGTTAAAAGCAGACTCAAGGTGACAGACGTGTAACTTGGATATACTTTATGGCGACAATTTTTCAACATGAAAAAGTCGAAAAGAGAAGCACAATGGCCAGAGTTCTAAACTGTTGGCTAGAGTTTTTCAACACTCTAAATGTTGCTGCTAATATTGGAAGCAACATTCAAGAATCTTGCTGGGCACCTTTTACAATGACCTATTGATTAGTTGAAATTATCAAGAGCTTTTAGTGCTGCCTTGGTTATGTTTTTACTCCTATCCAATGGTGGCTCACTTGTACCTCATCTGCATTTTATCACCAACAAATTTAAAGACTGCCAACGTACTCTCTGCGGCTTCTTTGTTGGTGTCTGAAAGTCGTCGTCCTCTTCTTCGCTGGACGATAAACAGCTTGCGAAGACTTCATCAAAGTTTGGGTCCTCGTCATCGCTCGTGTCGCATTCCAGGCCCGTGTTGATCTGCAACTTATTCGGCTTGACATCGAGGTTGAGTTTTCGTCTGCTCCGCGGCGTCTGCTTTCGGTCCGCCTCACTGGATTGCAGTTGAACACAGACTTGAGCAAGAATTTCACACCCACACCCACCCACACACACACACACAGAAAAACAGATACGCGGCCAGGATCAACAGTGTTAAGCATAATCATCACATCAGTGACTGCCTAGAAAAACAATCCCCAATTATAACTGATGAGCTCTTATGTCCCAAAACGATCCTGTGATTCTGAAGGACACTGTAGTGGAGAACACCAGAAATTTCGACCATATGGTGTTCTTTAAGTTGCACTTAAATCCGAGTACATGGGCCTCTACCATGTAACCACCATCCAAATGCAGCTGCCGCGGGTGGGATTCCATCCCACAACTTCTGTGTCAGCAGTTTAGCATTATAAGCACTAGACAAGCACAGCATATGACTGTGTAAAAAAAAAAAAAAAAAAGGATTATGTAACAGTTCCTTCCTTTATGTGTGAATTGAACAACGCATCCTCCTATACTGAACACACGTGACCCATCGCCAATCTCCTCGGCCGGCATGCTGTAAAATGTAGGTCTGTTTAATTTGGCCGTGGAGCTTCGCGGTAGTTCAGCTTTCCCCTGGATAGGTGTTTTCACGGCTTAGCACCCCTCTATTGCAGTGAAACTACTTTTGCAGAAAGTTACATGCAGACTAATAACGGTTATTGGTTTTTTTCGAGTACTCCAAAATTTTCAACCATTCGAATAGAAGCGAATTCGTTCGAATATTTGAAGCATTGGAATATTTGTACAGGCCTAGGCAATACGAATTTCGGTTGATAAAAATATTTTAGTGACACCAGGAAATTTAAATCACTGAGGTCTTACTGATAATTAGCAGGGCACAGCACCCCACGAACTATTTGTGGCGCAGTCGAGTCAGACAGACCGAAATGTACACAACACTCCACAAGTTAGTTCTCGTCTTACTGTTATATACACTCAAACCTCATTATTACAAAGTTTCATCTTACACAAACATTATACCCAAAATTCGTTATAAAGTTTAATCCTAACACCATATCTATTGGAAGACTATTTTTAAATTTTTGATTTACTTCTTCATGACCAATATTTCATTATATCCGGGTTCGTTACACCAAGGTTTGAGTGCATTATCTAATGATCTTTACCCTTTATAATAGTGGCATAGGCTTGAAACCCGCTGACAAGGACCCAGGAGAGGTAAAAGAAAAAAGGGGGACGAGGCAGAAATGAGCTGTAAGACAACTGTGTGACAAAGAGCTGTGGGAACAGTTGAATGCGTAAAAAGAAAAAGTGACATTAATGAACAAACCTCGTGAACACTTCGTCATCGGAGCAGGAGATTTCGGTGTAGCGAACACTCCTAACTTTGCGGCCAGACCTAGTCGATGCGGGTCTGCTGGGAGTGTGGGAGCCGGCTTCTGTGTGTCTTCTGGGTTCCGTGTGGGACTTTGTGGCCCGAGATGGCCTGAGAGTTGTCGGCCGTTTTTCTGGGGGGTGGAGTTGCGTAGCACTCTTCAACCACGGACCGTGCCTTTCTTTCACTTCTTGATACAGGGGATGAACACGAAACTCTAGAGATATGTGGAAGTAAAACAAAAATTAATGAAGTAAAAAGTTGGAGTTTTGCTGCAAGGGCGAAGCAATGAATGCGTTAACAAAAAATTGAAATGTCACACAAAGATCGACGAGCAGCTGGATACTTGCAGTGTCCCACTGAAGCACAAAAGACTCTCGAAAAGGACACACAAGTATACACAGAACAAGCGTGAACTAACGACTTCTACAGGTGTTACTCCTTTGTGTTAGAGTGACGCACTGCAAGTGTCGACAATGCGGAACCTGATGCTCACCGATATTTTTTTTTTCTGTTAAACTGCGCCACGCAGAATGACCTCTCTGCGTTTCCTGCCACGTGATGGCGTCTGACACAGGGTGTGGGCAGCATTTCTTTTTTTTCCCGTTCCACGTCACAAGTGGGCACAGAAAGGGGCCCCTTTTTCGAGTGCAATTTAAGGGCAGTTTTCAAGTTGAATGAAAACGTAGGGCCGCTAAGCGATTGAAAACATGCTCGAGCTCCTGCGAAATCTGCATACCGCCAGTGGTAAATGGTGTCATAAATAGCTTGCCATCGAAGCGACTTCTAAAACTGTAATATTCAAAGTGCTCAAATATTCACAGAAGCCTACGTTAACAAGTGTACTTGAAGAAGCAGGCATTCTAGGATAGTTTGAAATGGCCAATCTTATGTAGCACAGTCATTCTTTTTCTCACAACATGCTTGAGGCATCCACTGAGAACCGAAGTCAGGCTAGCTATCGAGAAGCTGATGATGCTCGAGGCCCTATTACACCTATCGCGTTCTGCCTTTGAAGGCAAAATTCAAGCGTTCTCAAAGTTCTTATGATAAGTGCGCGCAATAGTGGCCAAGGATACCGGCGGCAGACTGCTATGCCACCAAAACGGGCTTTTGTTGCAACCTCGTAACAGCTTTCGCGGCGAAAAAAGAATTCAAGGACTCACCCAACTTTTGGATGCCTTGTCTGGAATCTCAGAGAAAGCCACTGCTCCGACTTTTGCTGCGTGGTGTCCTGGTTGCCTTGGCGCACAGCTCCAGTGTATTCTTCCGAACCCTTCGAGATGAGCGGCTCTTCTCTCTATCAGTGAACGACTGCCGCATCGCTTTCCTGCAGTGATGAGCATTTGTGTAGAGCGGCCTTGTCGTCACTCGTGTCAGAATGCTCCTTCTCAGTGGTTACGTCAGCTGCCTTCCCTGATGCCATGTTCATGTCAAGCTTGCGTCTGCTATGAGGTGTCGATGGCTTTCGCAATTGACTGTGGGAAGACAAAACAGCTCTTCAAAGGGCTGCCTAAGTCACCTCGGATATGCTTTAAACATTTTCAAGTACAAGCACGAATAAAGTTCAGAATGCCATCACAATCAATAGAGCCAAATACAGCAGTGCCACAAATCACTTGTGCAGGCAAAAAAAAAAATTTAAACCACACGCCCCTTTCTGGGCCTTTCGGTACTCACAGCATTAGTCACAACACCACGAAGTGAATCTGGTGATGTCAACAGCAGAAAGAACCTGTTTCCTGACGAAAAAATGCTAGCGCAAACCAACACAAGGACGGACAAGGAACACGGGATAGGCATTACTGCTCTCCTTGTCTGTCGTGTTGGTTTTGCACAACAATTTTTCCCTCAGAAACCATGAACCTACTAGCCCCGAAAAACATTTTGCAGAACCTGTTTTTATGACTGCAGTATGCACATTGCTTGTTTAACACTGAATGAACACTCAGCCAGAATGAGATACAAGACAACTGAGCGTAACTAAGGAAATACCGGGTTGCATTACGTTCATCCAACGCATGCGAGCCCACTATTATAGTACCATTCCGAGAAATTCTCGCAGCTGCTTGTTAATTGCAGACTTGCTCACGACCGCAACACCACAACTAAGTTTAAACATTTGGTGGTTTAGGAGTGCTTTAACCTTTTTAGTGTTGTTTTTTTTGGCACTGTTCTACAATTCCTGCAGTTTTTATTTTGCATGTTAGGTACAAATTTCCAGTGAGCAGTGCAGTGGTATGCTTTTTACGAGATGCAAAGATTCAATTAGAGGTTACCTTATCAAACAAAAGGTAGCACTCATTATGAGCAAATTATCAATTACAAAATAATCACATGCAATAAACAAATTTAAAAATAATTTAATAAGCCATTCATGAGTTGAGCCACTAACTATCCATTTTATTCACAGTCGAAATTCATCAAGAGCTCCTGAACTTCTTCTGTGAAGTAGCACATGCACTCGACACTGGTTCGCCATGGCTGCGCTTCTGAGACAATGGCTCTTCCTGCGTCTAAAATTGCACTACAAGTTATATTTGTTTACGTGTTCTCTCTATAGATTGTGGGACACACCCACATTACTTTTTTTTTTACTTATGTTGTCTCTCAAGTGGCAGGAAGAGGCAAAAAGAGTGCACTCGGAATCTACAGGGCTTGCACGTGTGTCGTTATCCCGAGTCTTCTCGGGACTCTCAGTAAAACGATTAAGCAGCAGAGTGCCCTACTCTGAAAAAGTAGGCACTGCTAAACTTCCACCAAAAAAGTGACAAGCCAAATACCCCGCCAAAATATCCACAAGCGAAGAGCGTGGCGACAAGCTCTGCAAAGAAAATGCGTAGCAGAATTTACGCATCTTGGAAGATGCACGCATCCTCACTACCCCCGTCCCGACCTTACTGCTGTATGAACCTTATAAAGTCGGAGTAGGATGACTTGGTAATTTTGAACCATCGAGTAAAAACGCTTTAAAGGCACAGGAGCGATGAGACCGAGGGAAGTAAATGCTTTTAATGAAATGCTGGAGATGATAGTGTCATGGGGTGAGAGTAGGCATTCCTTGATGTTAATGATGGCTTGTATCAATAGCCTGGCTATTTTCTCGACAAGCAAGTGGTGGGTGACGATCGCGATATATTACACATTTAAATAACACCAGGACATATGCATGCAAAGATTACACTGTTTAGAATGTTTCGTTATGGCCCGTGGCTCAGCAAGAATGTCAACAGCATTTTTTGTAGCACATAACAGACAGGAGCTGGGATGCCAAGACGTAGCGACACGAAATAAATTTGATTGCATGGACTTCTTTACTACTATGGTCACTGAAATGGACACTGCAGGGTCAAGAATTAAATGTGCAGCTTCAAGAGCAGCAGCAGAAGGCTGCAAGTCACTTAGCCACCACAACTGATAGGAAGGAATGGAGAATCGGAACGTACAGGTAACACTCGTTCGTAGATGCATGTGCATTTATTTGGGTTGGTTGTTCAATAGACATGTAGACACTCTGCAAAAGAATAGGTCATAAGGCAGGCATACTACAATCGCCTGTGCCTTCCATACTTTTACTGCTCGCCATAAATATGTGTAATGTCTAATAATGCAAAGGCCAGATTTTGCCAAAATGGTGCCATGAAAGCGTGATGATATGATGCTTACTGCTGTGAAGGTCAAGTGTGGCCAAAGAGCACAATGACTATGAGTTTCGAGTACGGCAACCACCAATGATATACAATAAAAAATGTGACATGGCTGTGAAGATGCACTGCAGAAAGCATTCACTTAGCAGATGGTGTTCTGCGCTGATCACTCAACACTCGTTTGTATTGCCTTCATCTGCACGCATGGCATCACTGGCAAGGAAGTGACGCAAAACTGTCACGACTGACAACTGACCTCGTGGAGTCGTCGTCGGAGTCGAACGAGTGCCGCCAACTTTTCTTCAGCAGGCGCCCCGACCGCGAAAACTTGAGGTCATGCCGTTGTGCAACGACGACACGCTGTCGCCGCGTGACGCCGCTTTACCTGGGTTCCGTGCGCCACTTGCGATGCCGCATCACGGACTTGCAAGTCTGAGCGGCGTGGCGGTGTTGCGAAAACATCGTCGTGCAAGAGACCGAGGTCCCGGTTGCGGAGCCTAGTTGCCGACGAAAAAGAGCTGGAACACACACACACAAAAAAGGGCGAAAAGTGGAATAATGAGTAATGGGAAGCAAAGGCACATAAATATTTTGGTTCAAAGCAACGGTTACCACATTCATTTGAGTCTAGGCTAATAGTAGTGTTTTAAGTACCCGTGTACCCAGCTCTAGGGCCTGCTTGGATTAGAGGACAAAAGGTTGTTTTCATAGTACTAAATTATAATTTCACAATATCGAATACACGACTTTTATTGTGAGGAGACAATTGGCGAGAAAATGCCCGCTCCCGCCCCACTTCCAATATCGAAAGTGCAGGTGACAACACTGTGTTGAAGCCCTGCACTATCTCACCATTACTTCATAGATATTGATGGCACCTGCTAACGCCTGTGCAATCATTTACCGGTAAGAAAAGTTGGCATATAAAGCTGGTATCTCCCACAAACAAATGACAATAGTCCTTTCGAGAACGTTTTAAATGGAGTCTACTGTAGTTATCATATGATGGCAAAATTAACAACAATAGTTTTGAAAAAATAGTTTATCCGTCTAAGGTGAATTAATGTTTCACTTTACTGCCCCTTCAAAAAAAATGTGCCGAACAAGAAGACCTACCTTCTTTCAAGCAATTCTGTCTCAGTGGTGCTTTTCCGTTTCTCAGGGCTTCGTGGTGGAGTCGATTTCTGGAGACAGTTCCAAGTGTCGCAATCTCTACGCATCTTGATCGGCGACACGAGAAGCAGCTTGTTCGGCGATGACCTCGACTTGACCGGGCTTGGCAAGTCCGTAGGCACACTTTCAAGAGTGACGGATACGCCTTCTCGTTGCCGTCCCGATGGGGTCGCCTCTCTCAACTGTGCTTGCTTGCCTGTAAGCATGATGTGACAACTCTTTAAAGCTGTGCATATGGTCTGTTTACTCTTACTGTTAGTCCTCAAATAGGACATTACAGGAGTGGTAATACAAAATGTAAGACGTACGCACATACAGAGTTGCCAACGTCACTGAGCAAAAAGGGAAAATTAAATTTAAGAAGGCTCCCAAAAATGGCATGACTTGCGAAGCAGCGCGAAAGATGCAGTAGTTTATGATGTATGTTGATGTAATGTCATTCCCCGCGTCATCCGTTGCTGCCTAGCTTCCAGTGCATTTAGCAGAGCATTTGAAGTGCATGATAAACTCCACTTGTTTCTGACAGATTAGAAAATTTTTGCAGCAATCAATTTGTAATGCAATAAACTATGATAATGAGGTCGTTCAATGGTTACTTGGAAGACCCATTTCACGACCCATGCAAGAACAGTGGTCAAAAGGAAACCCACCGATTGGTGTTGAGACGCCTACGACGTGGTGTGTTGGTCAGGGACTGCTCTCGAGAAAACGAAGAAGTTCTTTCCTTGGACGATAGCTTTCTGCTAGGGGTTAGCGATGGAGACCCGAAGTGCAGGGGTGATGCCATGGCCATCAAAATTCCACCGGCAGAAAAACAGTGGGTTTCCGTTGCTATCAACCATCTCGAAAGATGTTTTTGGACGACACGCCAGCAGGCACCGTCAGCACCTGCGACAGCCAAGGGCAATTCTAGGCTAAAGTCGTGCCAACAGACACCAAGGGCATTGAATGCTGCTGAAAGTTCTGTTTTGCTAAGAAGTTGAGAACAGTTACATTGGCATAACTTCCCTCGCAAAAAATCCGACCTCTCTAGTATTGTGTGTACACTCTGAATGTGTAAAAGGCAGCTACACTTCTTTTGATGAAGAAGCACATCCATTCTCTACCGTATGTGCATAGGTCAAAAGTATAGCTGTGTAAATAGCATAATTAACTTTGCGTGCCAATTGAACTGGATACTTTTCGACACATTAAAATAAAATTACAGAAAATAAACTGATGGAGAGGATTACTAAGCATGTAGTTACGAGAGAGCAACATGAAAGTTTTCTTTTGACTAGGCTGGTCGGGAGTTCAAGCCCAGAGTTCCAAATTCACCTCACTAGATGTCAACGTATAAGAACATATCGAATCTCGCAAGCTCAAAATTTTCGGCAACCAAATTTGTGAAATTTCTGCCCAAATTTCAGGTCCAACAGAGCATTAATTGAACCACTACCTGAACACCCCTAGTCAAGAAGCCAATATGAGCGAGGCCACCCAAGATGAAAATACTCATACCGTGGTTGGTCGGGGCATCCTACAGGTTGAAATTACAGATTCGAGAGGCTACAAGTGAACGACGGTGGAAAGCAGGCAAAACTTCACCGAGCACTTTCCGAAAATCGTTTCGGCGTCAACTGTGTCGGACCAGAGCTTGCGTTGGTCGAGCAACACTTCGCGAAAATAGTCAGGCGTCCACGATCTTGGCTTGCTGCGAAGGTGGAAGTTCGATTGCCCGGATGTACCAGGCCACCGTGACGAACCGGTGGTCTCCAGTCCGTTTCACCTAAACAGGAAGGGTAGGTGGTAATTGAGTAAAGAATGAATGAAATGAAACAGGCCATGCAAAATGACCACTTGTTTGTGCCCGCTTTAAAAGATCATGACAGCAACTATGGAAGGAGGGAAAAGGCAACGAAGGATTCTTGCATGCCAAGCAGTATTGCTGTAGTCGGTAATATCTCCTTTCGGAGTGAGTTGTTATGGACAGTCTGTAAATGTGTCAAAAGTCGCAGCACACAATCGCAGGCACTCTATGTTACATTCCAACAAAGAAAATAAAGCAATACAGTTACAACTCAATTTAACTAAATTGAGGTGAGCTGCAGAGGAAATATGTTTGTTCGTTTATTTGTCCTTCATCAAGGTTTGATGATTTGATTGATATGTGGGGTTTAACGTCCCAAAACCACTATATGATTATGAGAGACGCCGTAGTGGAGGGCTGCGGAAATTTAGACCACCTGGGGTTCTTTAACGTGCATCCAAATCTGAGCACATGGGCCTACAACATTTCCGCCTCCATCGGAAATGCAGCCGCCGCAGCCGGGATTCGAACCCGCGCCCTGCGGGTCAGCGGCCGAGTACCTTAGCCACTAGACCACCGCGGCGGGGCATTCATCAAGGTAGCTGTGAAATCGGGTTTCGTTAAATTGAATTTCAACTGTATGTTCTTTGGTGTGAGGCTTTGTAATTAATTGTGATATAAGCATGACGTCGAATGTTTTGTTCCTCTAATCATTTAGAAGTTGGTGGCAAGTGCCCCTTTTGCACCCCCTGCCGACGCCCTTGATCAACTATTTTTTCCACTTTTGGTAAGCAGAACTGGCCACTTTTGGTAAGTACAAAGCACGAAGAACTAAAAATTGTCGTAGCTTGTCGTAGCTCTTTGTAATTAGGCATTTGTGCATTTTGCTCAGCGAAACTACACTAGCAGGATCCATCATGCGATCAGCGCGACGGCCTCACCGGTGTCGAAGGCGCTCTTGATACGGCCAACGTAGCAGTTGCGAAGCGCTTCGGGGTCCATGCTGTCGTCATCGCGGATCAAAACGTAGTCGCCGACGGCGTAGGTCTTTCCCGAGAGCTTGAACTTGCTGCACGATAAAACATGAGACGAGTGAATAAGACAGACATCTCCAACGGGTCGCGCGAACACTTAAATGTAACTTTAGTTCATCAGCGTACCGGAACAAGGAGTCAACACTTCGAAAGTAAAAGTATCGGCGACGCTACACCTTAAAGCGGGCAAACACTCTCCCACGCAACACTTTAAAGAGCGAAGGTCACGGACCTTTAAATGTTAAAAGGACGACATGCCGGCGGAAGCTCCTTCGGCGAATAGGACTTACGTGTACGATCTGTGCTTGCTTCTACGGTTTCGCACTTCGTAATCGCCAATCCATTCGAAGCCTGCGTCGTCGCCCTGCTTTCTAGCGACGTCCGGCATGTTTCCACGCTTTGCACTACGTGATCAAAGCCTACAGTGAAGCCGCAGTATCACCAGAGCATTGACCGGTGATATCACACGCCAGCACACGATCGCGCGCCAAAAATTGTTATTTGGCGGGAAAACGAGGACCGGCTCTTTTCTGAGCCTGACACGCCTGTGAAGAGAGCGCTGCCATCGCTAGTGTTGTTATAGGAAGAGCGTGGACACACAGTGGAGAAAAAGAACTAGAAGACTCACTAGTAAATATACGGCTGGTATTGTGAGCCATATGTCAACAAAGAGCGTTAAGGGAAAAGTCAGGGAGGCGGAGAGGATTTACTGGATGGCAGCTATGGAGAAAAAACCGGCTTTGAGTAACTACCGAAAGGGCAAAAATGAAATAAGGAGGGAGGCATTTTACGATAATTCAAGGGGAAGCGCTTTACTGTTTGAAGCGAGATCGGGTTGCCTTAGAACGCGTAGTTATAAAGCAAGATTCAGTAAAGAAGAAGAACAATGCACATGCTGCGGGAAAGATAAGGAAACGGCGGAGCATGTTCTGATTGAATGTGGAGATATCCACCCAGGTGTACGTTTGGGCACGAACCTACAGGAAGCCTTGGGTTTTAGGGACAACAATGGAAAGCTGAACACACCCGCGATTGAAATAAGTAAGAGACGGTTAGAGTATTGGTGGCAGAAAATTAGAGAGAAAGGACAAAAATAAATATTGGAAAAATAAAATATGGACAGTGTGCCGTAAATGGCAGAGAACTTAAGCTGAAAATTTACCCTTTTTTCCATTAAGATAGAATTTATCGAAGTAGAGGCATTAGGCCAACATAAAAAAAAGAAAAAAGATTTTTTTTTTGTCGAGCCTGGTGGCATACTTGTCACCACCCCGTTATAAAGGGGACGCTCATAGCATCCATCCATCCATGTTATGGAAGAGCGTCAGTGTCATAGAGAAATTCTATGATCAGCGCGTCTTTGCTGCCTTGTTTTGGTTACTGTTTTCTAATACCTTTTTTTGATAATTTACTATACAACGCTGCAAAAGGTGATCTGAAGAACAAAGTAAAAGCACAAATTTTTTGCTATAACATTTTGTTAAAGTGTTAAAAAATATAAATTGCAAGTAAACTAGTTTGCACACTTTATAAAAGTTATTAATTCTATTTTAGTTAAACTTAGTTAAACACGCGTGCTATTATTTTTCATTGTGGTAGTCACTGTAGTCACAGCTGTTTCTAGCGCCACGTGGCTGCTGGCTACACGCTGCTGCGCGCCGTTTTTGAAAAGTAACCGGTCTGCCTTGGACGTCAGCTGTGAAGTGCGCCAACTTGGGTGGCATTGCAGCTGCTAGGTAAGTCAGTCTTGGTAGGTGTTCTGTGGTCTTGCAGTGGTCCATCTTCGCCGCTATTTATAACTAGAGGTTTGCGCCGAGGCTGGTTCCAACCGGAAACGGCGCATTGCCCATTTTCGTCATCGGCGGCGTGGAAACAGAAACTACAAGTTCAAAAAAAAAAAAAAAAATGCCATGCCCTGCGTTACAGTGTATTAGAAGTGCACTCTAACTGCGCGGAAGGCGCAGCACAGTCAGCAGCGAAAGCTAGAAGAGCGGCCTTTTAGAGCCTTTTAGGGTAATTAACTGCTGCAAGTACACTTTCTGGGAATCCACTACACATTGATAATAATGATTTCTGGGTAGTAGGCCGACATTCGCTATGCTATACATCGTCATTCTTCTGAGAAGCATGGTATCCGTTAAAAACTTTCGGGCCGATGGGTTCTTATCAGTGATGCCAACCCAAGAGACGTTTTATCCCTAAATTGACCCTCAAAAAATTACAAAATTACAAGAAAAATCTATAGAATATATTTTAAACGTGATTATTGAGCCTAATTGACTCCTAAAATATTAGAATAATGTACTCTTGTCGCCAAGTTCATCTGAAACTGTTTAAAACTAAAACTGACCGTTAACATTTTTTTTCTCTACTGGGCTGTGGAGTTGAATAGAAACTTGTAAATGGCACTTGTTGCCACCGAAGCAGATTTGCATGTCAAATTCACTTTGCACACAAACTGAAGACACAGATTTGATCATTCGGGTCGACTGCAAGTCTGCAGTGCCTTTCTTGTACTTGCGCAGCTTGACAGCTAGTGGTCCAGTCTTAACGTTCCACACTCGCAATCACTGTTGCACTATTTTCATTAGTAAGTGGGCACTCTAGCTACGCCTTTACTCTGTACTTTGGATCAGCTCCCAGTTTGTCATTTTTTTTTGCTATCGTGTAAAAGGCATAACGAAAAGACTGGAACACACGAAGAACCTTCCTGTCTCTTTTTGTCACCCCGTTTCCGCAATATTGAAACCGTACCACCTTAACGAATCTTGATTTCTACTTTCTCTCTGTTATTTCTGGTTATTTCGCATGGAGACTTTGCTAGGTGCAGGCTCGCACTGAGCGTACTTTTGACATGTGTTCATGTGTACTACAAGACAAAATCATCTTTGTTTCACAATTCAGCAATCACTCTGGTAGTTCACGATATGTGCGTGGTTCACTCTGCTGACAAACTGCAGAGTTTGATTTGCCCCAGTATTCAAACTATATAGTTATCTCGCGTTACAAAACTTCTATCCCCTTCACACGGTTCACCAGATCACCACGAGTGTCCTAAATAAAAAAAATAAAAAGACGAAATAGTCTAAATTAGCATTTTTACAGCCTTTCTCGTTGAAAGAGTGTGATCACTTAGTAAGGCCTTTAATCAGGCCGCGTAATGTCACACTTCCAGAGCCTTACGAAAATCCCTAGATTCAACAAAGAAGGCGCCAAATCCCCGAATAAGATTGAAAATCCTTAGATCTAGGGATAAATCTCTGGGGCTGGCATCCATGGCCCTTATCTGCAGCTGGCACGGTGGAAGGAGGGCGAGGAGAGCACATGCGCATTGCACATGCGCAGGACGAGCGTGAGCATCCCAAAAAGCCGGATGGGACGGAAAAGCGGCAGGGAATAAGGAAGGTGCATAAACGAGCCCTGGGGCTTTTGGTTGGCAGACGAACGATCGGATGCGGTGCTGGTTGCGTGACGGGCAATGAATTTTTCTACCCGGTTCTCGGCCAATCCCCCAGCGTGGGTGTGTGCCACAGTATCCAGGCCCTTCCTTCCTCCGTGCGTGCTACAGAGCTGAGGCCACGCGGGTTCGGGCGTCCCCTAAGGCGAGTCGATGGATCGTATTCCACGGCGTGTTACGTGTCAGTTTGCTTTCCTTCTGTTATGTTTCGCGCTGGCTTTCCTGCCGTTATGTTCCGCGCCGTACGGTTCCACTGACCGCCTGTCTGCGGCGTTTGTTCGTTCCGGGTTTTTGGCCCTCTTTTTGTACGCTATAGTGCTGTGTTGTGCCGGTCCGGAAGGCCGGTTGTGATTCTTTTGAGCCGTAAACTAAACGCGGCTCTTGTTATCAGCGTTGCTGGCTCGTGTCCTGCGAATTTCGGCTGACCCCCCCCCCCCCCCCGAGAGCGGAGGTGGGCCCTCAACACTTGCGAGGAATTTTGGGCCAATTGTTCATGCAGTGACTGACGACGATCAGGACTTTTTAGATGGAAATCTAGATACCAGACATCACAGAATTGATGACGTGGTGCACATGGTTGATCCCCTGTTGCATGGTTCGAACATAATTCGAGCTCGTGTGCGCGTCTTAAGTGTCAAGTATGTATACAAACAGCTATCCCCTACTCTGGCGCTTCGAGATAGATAGATAGATAGATAGATAGATAGATAGATAGATAGATAGATAGATAGATAGATAGATAGGTGGATAGATAGATAGACAGATAGATGGATAGATAGATAGATAGACGGATAGATAGATGGATAGATGAATAGATAGAATGACGTAACTTTCCTTAACTGAAAAATGGTACTCATTTAATAAAGTATACTGCTGATTTACGCTTCAGAAACGCTCGTTTCGGTGATAGGCTACGTATGGTAAGACAGCGTTGTTTTCGATGCTTGGTTTGGCGCACTATCATATATAACGAAGGTTTCCTTGCATATATGTAAACATTTGTCTGACTTCGCCCGAATCATTTATGGTAAATCTGTTGTAGCACAATTTATTTTCCTCAAACTTGTTTTCGTGCTTGAATTGTTCTGAATCCAGTAACAGCGTCCGGTGTACCGAGCGCGGCTAAATACTTTGTCGAGCCAGTCAGGTTGCTGTGCTTTGACAACTCGCAACTAATTGGCGCAGGGAAGTTTAGCACTTAGTGGAGTTTCATTGTCTTACACTATAGTAATACTAAAGCTAACAGCTTTACGCTATCTTTAGCGTACGTAACATGCTACCTCCAATGCAGGCGTATTATGCAACGCTATAACGTTTTTAATGCGGATGACAGCGGCACCTGTCAGCGTCACGGAATGATGGGATGTTGAGTGAGATTTCGAGCAGTTTGCTGCCGTTAGCGCGAAAAAAAAATGGAGAAAACAAGCTCTGTGCTATAGCATCTAAAGTACATTTATTCGAAACTGCATCATATAGAAAACACACCTTCACATTGCGTCGGAGCGTCTTTGCCGTTGCCAGGCCTAACCGGTGTCTTATGTCAGTTTTATCTATACGCCCGACGTTAGAACTCCAGGACTATGGCAGGGGCTCGTCTTTCGTGGACGCTCATCCTGGGGTGGAAGCGAAATATTCTCTCGTTGCCCTGGGGGTCCCGGAATACGATGGTTCTGTGAATATGCAAATGTAGGCAGGTTAAAAAACATTGTTAAAGAGATCATCTTCGTTACAAGGCATATAGCTGCCGTCACTGTATTGACTGCTTATTTTCGCTACCTCGAGTGTCAACTGCATACCCACTGACATAGACCGCGACTTTTCGTTTGAGGCCTGGTGCACATTTGAAAGCTGTTTTTGCTATCTGGTATTCCCCAGTGACCTTAATCAGAGGAAGTGGTATTCTGTACACTCTATATTTAGTCGTGTTGTAGAATTTAGTAATGGTGGAATTTTAAGCCAATCACAGAGGTCTTATAGCAGCCCCCCTGGACCAATCGTAGCTGACGAGTGGCGGAGTTAG